GAGTGTGCCGTTAATGTAACAAGAACGGTCATTTCGACAAATGTTGCAACTCAACGGGGTTGGAAAATGTAAAACAGAGTGTCGGACTCTCCAGTAGAAAAAGCTGTCACTTTATCGCGTCAGACAGTAAATCAGAGTTTGCAGTGCTTTCAGCGTAAAACGCCATAGATGTCGGGCAGTTGTTTTCAAGATAGACAGCGTGGTGGGAAAGTTGGAAGTAGATATTGACGCCATCGTAAAGGTGAAATGTATTCAGATCACGACTTTTTGTGCGAATACTTTCTTCAAAACCAAGTTGATACGGGTAGCCCAGTTTTCCTTGTTAATCGAAGAACCGCGGATCTCATTGTCAAGTCAGTCTTTTGATGAAAATTTTTTTTCGTCAGGAAATGTTCGGTTTACACTATTCACGTGGAGTACAACAGGAGGAAAATTGATCTTCTCGGAGGTATATTCACGAGATTAGGAAGCTCAGAATATCAGCAAGTGTATTCCTCTTTTAAGACCCCTTTGATCCCGATTCAAGACAAGAGAAGGGCAGAAGAGTGCCGATCCATATCCAGTTTGAAGTGGGAGAAGAAAGTGAGAAACTAATTCGAGCAGGTCGCATAAAAAAGCTGAACAAATGTACTATTGATCACTTTATTGCTCATATCGTTATTACCGCCAAAAACACTGCTCAGTAAAATCAGCCATGGACGCGCAGCCAAGGATTAAAAATCAGATGCTCAACTTGTTGGAATTGTTCGATACGGCCGCCCAAATAATCAAATCGAACCCTGTTGTAAAAGTTTTTTTCTCTCTCGACATCAAATACGCGTTCAGCCAACTCAAACATAGTGAGCATGTGAGCAGCCACTGAACTTGACCATCGTGTGTGGAGAATATATTGGTACGTATAGATTTAAATCTGAGTTTTGCGGCTTCACTGATACGCCTAAAAATTTACAGAAGGCGATGGACAACGCTCTTCAAAGACTATCCGTGGTCTTATGTTTTCTGGTTGACCTATTAATTGTTTCGAAAGGATCAGTCGAAGAAAGCAATCAAATTGTAGAATCAGTATTGAAGAGACTATTTACCGAAAGCTTTGCTCCAAAACTCTCCAAAAGTGATTTATTGCTAAATAAGTTATCGACACTGACGCAAATGGGTATCGCCCAAAATGGTCAAAAATTGAGACAGTCTTAGCTCTCCAGCCACCCACTTCTGTGAGCAACTCCGGTCCTTTATGGGTTTTCTGAAACATTCCACCCTTCGCTGAAATTAAGTAACAAGCAAAAATTTGAATTGGAGGAGGTGCATCAATTAGCATCCTCAATTACCACTCTAATTGGAGACATTACTAAAATGTACCACTACGAGCAATCGCGGGCCTCTATGATCAAATGTGCTGCTAGTGGAACTCTAGAGCAGGACTTCGAACCGGAAGCGTGGCTTCCGATAGCTTTTGCGTCCCGATTTCTTAGTTTACAAGAGTAGAAGTACAGCACTAACGAGCTTGAGTTTCTCTCAATGGTTTGGTCATGCGAGAACTTTCAAAATTAATTTCTTGGGAACTCTTTCGAGGTCCGAACCGACAGGAAAATAATTTTTTGGCGCTTAAATCTAGGAGAGGAAGTATAACTCATCAGTCACGTTTGACCAGCTGGGCTGACCGCTTACTACCCTTTGACTTCAGTATTGAAGGAAATCCCTGGAAGTACGCTTGGTATTGTCGATTATCTTTCCCGTTACCCTAGTCATTCCGGTCAATCAACAAAACTCTTTATTGAGTCGATTTATTTCGGAAATGGGTTGTTTTTCGTAGCTTAGTAATATCAATACGGAATTTTGTTCTCCAATTGCTGTCCAATTATTGCTAGAGGGCGAAAAAGCATCGGGATATCCCAATCATCCAATCAGAGTCGATCAGTTTTGTCAACAATCTGCTGGGGGCGGCGAAAGCTTGCTTGACAGGATCAGCTAATCATATTTGGTTGAGCTGCCAGTCCGTCGCTGGAGGGCGGCAAATTCTAAGCTCATTCTTTGGACTAATCAGAGTTGAGTATGCATAAAGTATGCAAATCCAAAAACGGTCTGCCACTAGAGGGAGTCGAATCAGCTTCACGCACTCTGGTTCAGTCAGCGTCGAATGAGCTGAATTTTTGCAAGTTTACAGTGGGTACCCCACCACCAGAGAGCGACAAATTTCATGTACATGCGCTTGACCAATCAGATTCGAAATTGAGACAATTATGCAAAGTTTGCACTCTCTCAGGATATTTCCCTATTTCGATGCCAGTTTTGTCAAGAAACTTTCCGCTTTAGCTGCTACAAATTTTGTTGGGCTTTTTGGTTGTCATGCCCGATTCAGTGTTTTTATAGGTATGTACGACTAGAGGTGACTTAAATTTTGGAGTATCATGGAATCTTCGACCAGGGATGAAAGCTTCGAAAAACTATTGTACCAACTCGTACTCCCAACCACTTTTTGTTCCATGAGCGTATACGTTCCCGAAGACAAATCGTGGCAGGAGGGGTCAGACCGAAACGCCTGAAATCTCTGGACCGCCAGAAGACCTAGCAGCGCACATACTCCCGTCTCCTCGCCAACTTTCGCTTACAACGAGTCAAAAGACGTGCCTTGAACGCAGCATAATCCATTTCTCAAACAGCCGAAATGTTCAGTCTGGGAACTCTTATGAAGACCCTTGTGGCTGACGACAAGAAAGTGCTCTCCGGAAATGTCGAAATTCTAACGAGTCGAGCTTGCAGACGAAGATCTATCACTACATCTGACGAAACGAGCTGTATTCAACAAAGTCTACAAGAGTTTTCGTAAGATCGATCCCAATTTGAAGACTTTCTGGAGCAGTGCTGCCGTGGTGGATGGCTGTATCATAATCGACAACGAAATAGCAATACTCATTGTCCTGCAGAAGACCACTCTCACCCATTTGCACCGGTCTCATGCAGATCAACTTACCATGGTTCATGAGGCCCAGTATATTTGTTGGCCCAGAATGCACCACAACCAAGTACAATTGTGCTAAGGTTGTTCGCACTGTACTAAATTTGGTAAGAACTTGAAAGCTCGTTAAATTTTTCATTCTAACAGCTCTTTGACGGTTTTAATACAGCCAAATGAGGAGGTGCAGTTTAATTATGCGGTTCCGTTATCAGACAATTCGGGTTGTCAGTTGTATATATTTTTTGCTATATTGACCTATACTTACAGGGTCTGTCGGCAATGATAACCAGAACTACAAGGGAAAAAAACCAATAATTTCTTAACCTCCTATATTCAACAACATTTTTTTCCAAAAATGATTAGCAAAGACCACTATTTTATTTTTAGAAACAAGTTAGTTAAAGAGAAAAATATCTCAAAAATGTTTGCACATTTTTCACTCTCCATTGACTCATGAAAGATTTAAGCCGAGCTTATAATTGTTCAATGTCATGACATATCGAATATTCTCTTCGATTATTCAATTATACCTTCAGAGACGAAATGAGTCTAGTTTTCAAAATCATTTCTCATTGGAGTACTCGAAGGTAATAAACAAGTAGTTTTTGACTTGTGATCATCTATTTGTGGTACCATTTGAACATTTTGCTGCTCAGGTTCAATTTGGAGCAATATATGAAAAAAAATTTTATAGGAAAATCGGAATCTCGAATTGAAATCGCTTGTTCAATGGATATCAGAAACGATTAGGTTTGCCTGTGAAATTTTGTACGAGAAAAAGAGATTGAAAGAGCATTGGTTGGCAAACACTGGCAGATAGCGCATAAGCTTTGACGGTTGTTAAAGATATATTTTGAGACACAAAATATTACTTATTATCAAAACATCGGCTATGTTTCAAATATTCCTTTGCCCGTTATTGGCGTTCTTATTCCGGTGTTCTTCCAAGATCGGATTTTAAAAAAATTAATGAGTTGTGTAAACAATAATTGCGTCTGCTCCATTCTTGAAAACGAATTTTGTCAGAGATGCCAGTTGGTTTGTGATGCGAGATCTGAGGACTTGGCTGATCGGAATTGATCTATCACAAGCGTCTGTAACAAAACTTTTTTTCTAGTAGTTCAGCAATTAAAAATTTTGCGTTAATAAGCAGGCAAAAATGAAAGATCCAAAACTTTCAATCTGCTTCCAGAACTTTCCAAATTATATGCATTGATTAATGTTTTATTCATTCAGGCCTTTAGTCATCTTTTGACGGCTACTCGCTTTGATGCGGCCAAGTTTTCGTTATTGGATCCTGACGAACTGCAGTGATGGTCGGTTGCAGAGTTGCAGCAAAGCGAGGGAATAATTAACAGTTATATTATTAGAGCGCCAAATTTTTAAATCACCTGATATTAATATGGACATTAAACGACTTATAGGGGTCTGATTTCGTAATATCTGCGTCAAGTTTTTAATATGACCTACAAAAACTGGACATCACTTCACTCAAGTAAGAAGTCAATTCTCCGAAAAATATTTTTTTAAAATTGAAAATCTCAGAGTCATTCTTTATCTGACAAAAGTTTGCAGAGTTGTGTATGATTTTCGGGAGCTAAGTGATTTTCCCATGCACTTTTTTTGGTTGTGAATTGGTCAAATTTTGGAACATCAAGCTAAAAAATGACTGTCCGTGATTTGTTCAGGTCAAAGGGAACCGGTGCTCGTTTTGACCTGATTTAAGTTCGCATTCAGCTACGGTTATTTCGTAAGTTTGTTTTCAGCTGTTGTTCCTTTGCATAGCTAGTCAGTTTTTTTCAATTATTCTGGGCTGAAATCGATAGAGGAGAATTCCCTCGCTAACCCAAATCCGAGCCGGAGATTTTATGGTTTGAGTCCTAATCTGCATCTAAAACTTTTTAGAGAAGATAGATTTTTTATTCTTTATATGTTCTAAAACTTGTAATTGAGTTTCGTCATATTCGAAACTTGACCGAGTCATTACAACTGCATTGATTTACACAAATTTCGATCTTAAAAATCAAACGAAAACGCGAAATAAATAAATAAATAAATAATAATAATGACTTGGTCAAAATATTTCATAAAACATGCCAAATTACCTGCATTCTCTGAATTAATGAATTAGTAAAATTATAATTTGAACAACATCCTCATAGAATTACAAAAGCTATGAAACCACCACTCGAATTCAAATGGCAGGCAAAACTTAGCATTAAATTTATAATTTATCAGATTGAAAAATCATATAAATTGCCAATTTTCAAGCGATTTAAGCATGAGAATTAAACTAAACTGATAGAAAACTGCATCCATTTACTGAGTTACCGCACAATAAAAGCGACCACCCTCAACCTCAAATTACTTAGCGTGGTTTTGTTAGTAAGAATGTAAACCTTCCTGAAAATTATAGAATAACTTAATCATTCACTAAGAATTTCACTGGAAATTTAACTACAAAATTCTCAAAGTTCGCAAAGCAACAATCGGATGTTTCCAAGTCTATATCTTCCTACTAGTTTTCAGCTAAAAAAGAACAATTTTATTTTACACTCATAATGCACTGATTTCACTAATATTAAAGACACGATGTGACAATTTAAAAGCTTCGTATAAAATCCAGGTTTAGGTTTCAGTTATGAAAATATCTCGATAATAATCAAAGCCGGAAACATTACTGTTAAATTTGGAAGATATTTATGAAGCGCTGTCTCAGATAAAATTTGTTGATTTATTCATTCGAGCCCAGTTGTACCAAACAGTGCGAGAAAACTCTTATTCAGAACTGACAAAATAGGCTTATATATTAATGAATGATTATTGTTTTTCAACTAAATTTTCAAATTACAAAACACTCCAGCGCCTCTTCTAATATCTGTAGCAATTTTCCCTGCCCTTAATTATAAATTGAATCATTGTAAAAAGTAGTTTAATTATCTGTAGTTTTCGTTAGTTTTTTGCCTGGAGCGTCTTGGAGGAGCCTTGGTTCTGGCCTCCTGCGCCGCTCTTGTCCTGGACGGAGCTCTGGCTGAGGGTCTGAGTAGCTGAGGGGGCCGCCGCAGCCGCTCTCTCCCTCTCTCCTCGCTTCTTCTTGTTTCCCTTCTTCTTATCCTGCGGCTCCAAATCTTGTCTCAAGTAGTCCACCACATTTATCATGTCGTTGATCTTCTCCATCTCCTCGTCAGCACTAAAACACAATCCTCATATCATAATTAACTAAGGGGGGGGGGGGATCTTTTATGCCAGAAGAAGCGATTGCCAAAAAATTATAGCAGTCTATCGGAATTCACAAATGAAAAGTTCAAAATGTAGCAATTAAGTGAATCAATGGACGACGCCTATCGATCGTTCTCAAGACATTTTCTCCAACATAACTAACTTGCTTCATTCACACTTACTTATTTAGTCCTTTAATTTACATCTTCTCAAGGCGGAATGACCGAATACGCTACAACTTTCAGTCAATTAACGGTGCATATCCACAGATCAATAAAACCCAAATAATGGCACTTGAAGTTACAGACCTTGAAATTTGAATATCTTAAAAATTTAATCAATTTATTGTCAAATTAGATTCAAATTTTGTCTCTGTCGCACAAAATTTTGTCAAGATAGGTCTAAATGGTGTTTGGGTATAGCTCATATTGGGTCGACCGTGAACAACAAAAAAAATTAGATTTTTAAAACCGAATAGTTCCCCCTCCCCCATCTAACTGAGAAACAAAACATAGTCAACTGACAGTTGGAAAAGAATAATGAACGCAAGGAACCAGAAGAAGACTTGTTTTTTCAAAAACCTTCAACTTTGAATTTCGAAGAAAACAATAGATGGCCTTAGAGCTCTTTCAATTTGTAGAACAAATTATGATGGACACTTTTTTTGCTAAAATTATTCCAATTTGAGAAAACTGGATCAAAAGGCAAAACTTTTTTTTTCGCTGGGAAATCTGATAATTAATTTCCAACTAGCAAGCCCGCCTCCAATAATCAATTGGCTGGCAAACAATAATTCTTGTTCTTATTAAGCTAACCAAGCAATGAAACTTTGAACAATTTCAAGTTGAGCTATTTATTAAATCGGTGTAGAAACACTTAAGGTTCCCGAAAAATTGAAGCTTTTCTATTCAAGCTATGAAACATATCAAAATGTTTCATAAAGCAAATCGGACGTCGAAGTTTTAGATTTTTCGTAGTAAGCTATTCAAGCGATGAAACTTTGAAATATTTCAGGTTATTTCACACAGCGAACTGGTCCGCAAAAGATTCGAATTTTTCTTGCAAGCTATTTTAGCCATGAAACCTTTCCAAGTTATTGCATAGACTGATTTGGTTCGCAAAAAGTTTAAGTTTCTCTAAGCAAACAATTAGGGCTATGAAATTTTTAATTAATTCAATGTATTTCATAGACTGAATGCTAGCTATTAAAATTATGCTTTGAAACACTTCAAATTATTTCATAGAACGAATCGGTTTTCGAAAAGCTAATATATTTTTTAACAAGCTATTCAAGCTTTGAAATGTTTAAGTTTTTCTATGCAAGCATTTGGTCAATTGTTTATTGGACCGAAACGTTCTGCGAAAAGTTCGTTCTATGTTATTCAAGCAAAGAAACTTTTTTTAAAATATCAGATCGTTGCATAAAGCTAATTAGTTGGCAACAAATTTGAATTTTTTTAAGTAGGGTAGTTGAGTTATGAAACTTCAAAGTATTTCAAGTTATTTAATAAAGTTAATTAGATAGCAAAAGTTTTCGAAGCTTTAAACAATTAAAAAATTTCAAATAATTAAGACCGAAACTTTTTGCGAAAAATTATTTTTTCAAGCGAGCTAGTCGAGCAATTAAACAAAAGGTTTCAAATTTCCAAGTTATTTCTTAGAAGAAAAAGTTTTGCGAAAAGTTCGTTTTTCTGCGCAAACTAATCGAGCAAAAAAATTTAAAAAATCCAAGCTGTTTCTTAGACCGAATCGTTTGGCCAAAATTTAATTTTTCTAAGCAAGCTATTCAAGCTATGAACTTTTAAAGTTATCTCGTAGACCAAATCGATTCGCGAACATTTCAAGTTTATCTAAGGAAGCTATTAGAGCTATGCAGCTTTGAAATAATTCCTAATAATTCATAAACCGAATCAGTTCGCGAATACCATTACGTTTTCCGGAGCAAGATATTCAAGCTATGAAACTTTAGATGACATAGGATGACCGCGTATGATGATTTTCAGGCTTTGTTTTTTATAATTTATTAGAAAAAATGATTCGAAAAAAGCTCTATCAAATAGTTGGACATGTCTCTGTCAAATTTTTATGTCTTAGGGAATACTATAAATCGATTCCAGCTACGGAATGAATCAAATTTCAAGTTATTTCATAAACTAAATAGACTGAATGAGTTCGCGAAAAAAAATTCTAAGGAAGCTTTTTCAGCTGGAATTTATAAAATAACTCAAGTGAACTTATATAAACAAAATCAGTTTGCGAAAAGCTTTAAGTTTTCTAAGCAAGCTATTCAAGCTACGAAACTTTGAAGATTTTTCGTAGACCAAATCGGTTCGCGAACAATTTAAGTTTATCTAAGGAAGCTATTAGAGCTATGCAACTTCGAAATAATTCCGGTTAATTCATAAACCGAATCAGTTCGCGAAAAGCATTACGTTTTCCGGAGCAAGATAATCAAGCTATGAAACTTTAGATGACATAGGATGACCGCGTATGATGATTTTCAGGCTTTGTTTTTTAAAATTTATTAGAAAAAAAGATTCGAAAAAAGCTCTATCAAATAGTTGGACATGTCTCTGTCAAATTTTTATGTCTTAGGGAATACTATAAATCGATTCCAGCTACGGAATGAATCAAATTTCAAGTTATTTCATAAACTAAATAGACTGAATGAGTTCGCGAAAAAAAATTCCAAGGAAGCTTTTTCAGCTGGAATTTATAAAATAACTCAAGTGAACTTATATAAACAAAATCAGTTTGCGAAAAGCTTAAAGTTTTCTAAGCAAGCTATTCAAGCTACGAAACTTTGAAGATTTTTCGTAGACCAAATCGGAACGCGAACAATTTAAGTTTATCTAAGGAAGCTATTAGAGCTATGCAACTTCGAAATAATTCCGGTTAATTCATAAACCGAATCAGTTCGCGAAAAGCATTACGTTTTCCGGAGCAAGATAATCAAGCTATGAAACTTTAGATGACATAGGATGACCGCGTATGATGATTTTCAGGCTTTGTTTTTTAAAATTTATTAGAAAAAAAGATTCGAAAAAAGCTCTATCAAATAAATGGACATGTGTCTGTCAAATTTTTATGTCTTAGGGAATACTATAAATCGATTCCAGCTACGGAATGAATCAAATTTCAAGTTATTTCATAAACTAAATAGACTGAATGAGTTCGCGAAAAAAAATTCTAAGCAAGCTTTTTCAGCTGGAAGGTATAAAATAACTCAAGTGAATTTTTATAAACAAAATCAGTTTGCGGAAAGCTTTAAGTTTTCTAAGCAAGCTATTCAAGCTACGAAACTTTGAAGATTTTTCGTAGACCAAATCGGTTTGCGAACATTTTAAGTTTATCTAAGGAAGCTATTAGAGCTATGCAACTTCGAAATAATTCCGATTAATTCATAAACCGAATCAGTTCGCGAAAAACATTACGTTTTCCGGAGCAATATATTCAAGCTATGAAACTTTAGATGACATAGGATGACCGCGTATGATGATTTTCAGGCTTTGTTTTTTTAAATTTATTAGAAAAAATGATTCGAAAAAAGCTCTATCAAATAGTTTGACATGTGTCTGTCAAATTTTTATGTCTTAGGGAATACTATAAATCGATTCCAGCTACGGAATGAATCAAATTTCAAGTTATTTCATAAACCAAATAGACTGAATGAGTTCGCGAAAAAAAAATTCTAAGCAAGCTTTTTCAGCTGGAATTTATAAAATAACTCAAGTGAATTTATATAAACAAAATCAGTTTGCGAAAAGCTTAAAGTTTTCTAAGCAAGCTATTCAAGCTACGAAACTTTGAAGATTTTCCGTAGACCAAATCGGTTCGCGAACATTTTAAGTTTATCTAAGGAAGCTATTAGAGCTATGCAACTTCAAAACAATTCCGGTTAATTCATAAACCGAATCAGTTCGCGAAAAGCATTACGTTTTCCGGAGCAAGATATTCAAGCTATGAAACTTTAGATGACAAAGGATGACCGCGTATGATGATTTTCAGGCTTTGTTTTTTTTTAAAATTTATTAGAAAAATGATTCGAAAAAAGCTCTATCAAATAAATGGACATGTGTCTGTCAAATTTTTATGTCTTAGGGAATACTATAAATCGATTCCAGCTACGGAATGAATCAAATTTCAAGTTATTTCATAAACCAAATAGACTGAATGAGTTCGCGAAAAAAAATTCTAAGCAAGCTTTTTCAGCTGGAATTTATAAAATAACTCAAGTGAATTTATATAAACAAAATCAGTTTGCGAAAAGCTTAAAGTTTTCTAAGCAAGCTATTCAAGCTATGAATTTTTGAAGTTTTCTCGTCGACCAAATCGATTCGCGAACATTTCATGTTTATCTAAGGAAGCTATTAGAGCTATGCAGCTTTGAAATAATTCCTGTTAATTCATAAACCGAATCAGTTCGCGAATACCATTACGTTTTCCGGAGCAAGATATTCAAGCTATGAAACTTTAGATGACATAGGATGACCGCGTATGATGATTTTCAGGCTTTGTTTTTTATAATTTATTAGAAAAAATGATTCGAAAAAAGCTCTATCAAATAATTGGACATGTGTCTGTCAAATTTTTATGTCTTAGGGAATGCTATAAATCGATTCCAGCTACGGAATGAATCAAATTTCAAGTTATTTCATAAACCAAATAGACTGAATGAGTTCGCGAAAAAAAATTCTAAGCAAGCTTTTTCAGCTTGAATTTATAAAATAACTCAAGTGAATTTATATAAACAAAATCAGTTTGCGAAAAGCTTAAAGTTTTCTAAGCAAGCTATTCAAGCTATGAATTTTTGAAGTTTTCTCGTCGACCAAATCGATTAGCGAACATTTCAAGTTTATCTAAGGAAGCTATTAGAGCTATGCAGCTTTGAAATAATTCCTGTTAATTCATAAACCGAATCAGTTCGCGAATACCATTACGTTTTCCGGAGCAAGATATTCAAGCTATGAAACTTTAGATGACATAGGATGACCGCGTATGATGATTTTCAGGCTTTTTTTTTATTATTTATTAGAAAAAATGATTCGAAAAAAGCTCTATCAAATAGTTGGACATGTCTCTGTCAAATTTTTATGTCTTAGGGAACACTATAAATCGATTCCAGCTACGGAATGAATCAAATTTCAAGTTATTTCATAAACCAAATAGACTGAATGAGTTCGCGAAAAAAAATTCTAAGCAAGCTTTTTCAGCTGGAATTTATAAAATAACTCAAGTGAATTTATATAAACAAAATCAGTTTGCGAAAAGCTTTAAGTTTTCTAAGCAAGCTACTCAAGCTACGAAACTTTGAAGATTTTTCGTAGACCAAATCGGTTCGCGAACATTTTAAGTTTATCTAAGGAAGCTATTAGAGCTATGCAACTTCGAAATAATTCCGGTTAATTCATAAACCGAATCAGTTCGCGAAAAGCATTACGTTTTCCGGAGCAAGATATTCAAGCTATGAAACTTTAGATGACATAGGATGACCGCGTATGATGATTTTCAGGCTTTGTTTTTTAAAATTTATTAGAAAAAATGATTCGAAAAAAGCTCTATCAAATAAATGGACATGTGTCTGTCAAATTTTTATGTCTTAGGGAATACTATAAATCGATTCCAGCTACGGAATGAATCAAATTTCAAGTTATTTCATAAACCAAATAGACTGAATGAGTTCGCGAAAAAAAATTCTAAGCAAGCTTTTTCAGCTGGAATTTCTAAAATAACTCAAGTGAACTTATATAAACAAAATCAGTTTGCGAAAAGCTTAAAGTTTTCTAAGCAAGCTATTCAAGCTACGAAACTTTGAAGATTTTTCGTAGACCAAATCGGTTCGCGAACATTTTAAGTTTATCTAAGGAAGCTATTAGAGCTATGCAACTTCAAAACAATTCCGATTAATTCATAAACCGAATCAGTTCGCGAAAAGCATTACGTTTTCCGGAGCAAGATATTCAAGCTATGAAACTTTAGATGACATAGGATGACCACGTATGATGATTTTCAGGCTTTGTTTTTTTAAATTTATTAGAAAAAATGATTCGAAAAAAGCTCTATCAAATAGTTGGACATGTGTCTGTCAAATTTTTATGTCTTAGGGAATACTATAAATCGATTCCAGCTACGGAATGAATCAAATTTCAAGTTATTTCATAAACCAAATAGACTGAATGAGTTCGCGAAAAAAAAAATTCTAAGCAAGCTTTTTCAGCTGGAATTTATAAAATAACTCAAGTGAACTTATATAAACAAAATCAGTTTGCGAAAAGCTTAAAGTTTTTTAAGCAAACTATTCAAGCTACGAAACTTTGAAGATTTTTCGTAGACCAAATCGGTTCGCGAACATTTTAAGTTTATCTAAGGAAGCTATTAGAGCTATGCAACTTCGAAATAATTCCGATTAATTCATAAACCGAATCAGTTCGCGAAAAGCATTACATTTTCCGGAGCAAGATATTCAAGCTATGAAAGTTTAGATGACATAGGATGACCGCGTATGATGATTTTCAGGCTTTGTTTTTTTTTAAATTTATTAGAAAAACTGATTCGAAAAAAAGCTCTATCAAATAGTTGGACATGTGTCTGTCAAATTTTTATGTCTTAGGGAATACTATAAATCGATTCCAGCTACGGAATGAATCAAATTTCAAGTTATTTCATAAACCAAATAGACTGAATGAGTTCGCGAAAAAAAAATTTCTAAGCGAGCTTTTTCAGCTGGAATTTATAAAATAACTCAAGTGAATTTATATAAACAAAATCAGTTTGCGAAAAACTTAAAGTTTTCTAAGCAAGCTATTCAAGCTACGAAACTTCGAAGATTTTTCGTAGACCAAATCGGTTCGCGAACATTTTAAGTTAATCTAAGGAAGCTATTAGAGCTATGCAGCTTTGAAATAATTCCTGTTAATTCATAAACCGAATCAGTTCGCGAAAAGCATTACGTTTTCCGGAGCAAGATATTCAAGCTATGAAACTTTAGATAACATAGGATGACCTCTTCTGATGATTTTCAGGCTTTGTTTTTTTTAAAATTTATTAGAAAAAATGATTCGAAAAAAGCTCTATCAAATAGTTGGACATGTGTCTGTCAAATTTTTATGTCTTAGCGAATACTATAAATCGATTCCAGCTACGGAATGAATCAAAATTCAAGTTATTTCATAAACCAAATAGACTGAATGAGTTCGCGAAAAAAAATTTCTAAGCGAGCTTTTTCAGCTGGAAATTATAAGTTAACTCAAGTGAATTCATATAAACAAAACCAGTTTGCGAAAAGCTTAAAGTTTTCTAAGCAAGCTATTAAAGCTACGAAACTTTGAATATTTTTCGTAGACCAAATCGGATCGCGAACATTTTAGTTTATCTAAGGAAGCTATTAGAGCTATGGAACTTCGAAATAATTCCAGTTAATTCATAAACCGAATCAGTTCGCGAAAGGCATTACGTTTTTCGGAGCAAGCTATTGAAGCTATGAAACTTTGAAAGATTTCAAGTTATTTTGTGGACCAAATCGGTTCACGAAAACTTTTGTTTTTTAAGCAAGCTTTTAAAGCTATTAAACTTAGAATTATTTCAAGATAATTCATAGACAGTATCGGTTCGCGAAAATTTGAAGTTTTTCTAAGCAAGCTTTTAAAGCTACGAAATTCCGAGTTTTTTCCAGTTATTTCAAAAACCGAATCAGGTAGCAAAAAGCTTTTAATTTTTCTAAGCAAGCTATTTACGCTATGAAACATTTCAAAGTTATTTGAAAGGTCAAACCGGTTTGCGAGAAGCTTGCTGACAAAAGTTTTCTAAAGTTTTGCGTAATAACTTCAAGCTTTTCGCAAAACGATTCAGTCTATGAGATAGCTTGAAATAATTCGAAGTTTTTCTGAGCACGCTATTCATGAGATGAAACTTTGAAAAATGCCAAGTTGTTTCATATAGAAACTGGCGAGAAGTTTCAGTTTTTCTAGGCAAGCTATGCAAGCGATAAAACTTTGAATAATTTCAAAACATTTCATGGCGCAAATCGATTTGCTAACAGCTAGTTTCTCTAGCAAGGAGGTTGGTGTTTTAAGTTGGTTCGTTTCAGAATGAAATCACTCTGAAAAGGAAAAAAAATGGACAGGCAGTGTAGCCTGAAAAATTATTGAGTTCATCTTGTCTACATAATTGAATTTTTGACAAAATAGTTCTAGAATATTCCAGACTTAAGAAAACTTGAAAGTTCTAGAACATTCTTGGCCTTCTCTTTAATGTTAAGCCTAAGCGATTTTTTAAAACGTCGCATTCGACAAAGCAAAAAAACATTGCGTGCAGGTAAACATTGGTTCCCTAGCGCATTCCGACTTTCATTCAATATATAACACTTCGAAATTAGAAGTCGATCACGTTTTTCGTTACCTTACACTTTTGCTGTTCGATAGTGGAGTTTGCTTTCCTTTCAACAAAGGAAATGAACTGAAATTAAAAAAAAAATCAGAAGTCAAACCGCAAAAAATCAAAATTGAGCTTGAATAAATTTTAACTTTTTTAAAAAAACCAAAAAAAAAATCAGCAAGACCTATAAAAGAGTACTCACTACGTTCATTACTCTGCCATATTAAGCCCCCCATGTACGCATTGAGCTGCCCAAATTCGATTCGCCCTACACCGGCCTCAAGTCGAGAGCCATTTTTTGTTGCTACAACAACAACAAGATGCGACACAACAGTATACTTACTGCTCTGCGAGTATCTTGATGTTCTCTTCAAGAGTCTTGTGCGCCTCTTTCTCCTGTCGATAACTGGAAGCACAATAGCTCTCGAAGATACGCAGGCGCTCCAACATCGTACTGGACAGCTCATCTAAACAAGCAACAGAACTGACATATAGCCTCGTTTCAAATCGCATCTCAAGTCCCCTCAGAGGTAAAGAATATCAATCGAGCTCTTTGTTGTTGGTACAAAGAACAATCGATGATTTTAAAATTGTTACAATTTCAGTTTCAGACCGGAGTGACTTTCTCATAAGGTAACTTCGGATAGGGTACACCGTCTGTTCGTCACGCTATCTTATTTTCGGCCGGATAGATTCGTGCAAATTCTAAGTCAAAAAAATTTCGTTTCATATATTAAAATGTCTTATACTGATGCGTGCCAAACTGCGCAACTTCAAAAATTGGACTTCGCCTGAAACCTTAGTTTCTCTAATAAAATAAGTGAGAAGTGAAAATTATTAAGATTTTGCAATGCTCCAAAATACATAACCTTTCTCGAACAAAATATTAAGGAAATGCCGCTTCTGTAGGAAAAATTTGCGCTACCACTTCATTCGATTGAAATTTTCATCTCAGATTTGATAGGGTAGTTTTTAGAAAAAATGAAAGTTTTTAAAAAACGGTCCAAGTTCAAAAACTTGACTTTCCGAAAACCGTAACTTTTTTCTGCTAAAAAAGGTCATGGCAGACAAATTAGAGATCATTCACAAAATCGGGTTTCTTGATTAAAAACTTAACCTGAGAATTGGCACGGTAATTTTCGAAGAGAGTGAAAAAACTTCAAAAAACGGTCAAAGTTTCAAAACTTTCACTTGTTTGAAGGCCATAACTTTTTTCCAAAAAAACTAGGCGTAGCAAATTATAATGTTAAGCTTCCAACATCCTTGTTGTGCCAATTAAACCTAAGATATCAGAATTTCAGTTTAATAATTGAGAATAGTTAAAAACGGCCAACACATCAGAAAGTTGACATTTCCAAAAATCATAGCTTTTTGTTTAAAAAAAAACTGGGCGTAGCCGCTTATGGAGAAGAGATTTAACCCAACCTGTGATTTTTGAACTATGAATTTATGACTTTTCTGAGAGCCATTATTATTACTTTTTTGAGAGCCATAAAATTTACAAAAAAAAATTGGACGTTAAAGCGTACGGAAAGGAGCCTCTCAACACCCGTTCTTTGGATTTACCCAAAACCGCAGATAAAAGAGGGTTAATTTTCAGTAAAATTCATAAAAATTAGAAAAACGCTCAGAAAATCGTGTAGAAAAAGAGTGAGTGGCCCCTAATGCAAAGGAGCCTTTTACCACCCGTATCTCCATTGAAACAACAATCTGTTTTGGGAGGCTAGTTTTCGAGAAATATGAAAAATATTCATAAAACGGTCAAAAAATTTGACTATTCAGAGAGCCGTATTTTGATGTGTAAAAAATTTGGGCGTATCCGAATATAAAAGGGGGCTTTTTAGGTCCGTTCTACTCATTGAAAACAAGATCTCAGATTTGATAGATTAATTTTAGAGAAAATGAACAAAATCTCAAATATCGGTCAAACATTCCCCCCCACAGGCTGTGGACAAAGGTAAAACGCAAAAAGAACAGGGTAGTTTTCAAGCACAAAAGGTTGTAGGCAGTTTTCGATGGATACCTTTTTAGTAAAATCTTTCTTGAAAATCGGTAGAAGGGTTTATGCGAAAAAAAATATGCAAGTGATAAAAAATTTCCTAAGCGTCTCAAAACAAAACCCAATCCCATACACTTTCAAAACACCATTTTTATCAAACAGGAATTCTAGGCAAACATGCCAAGCCAGACATTTGAAAATCATATTGGCAACTGAACAAAACTCATGAAGCGGAAACAAGGCCGACCATCTTTGAGAAGAACCCAGTTAGGCCGAAAAAATCTGATTTTGTACAAAAATTCAAGTTTTCCCGAACTACCCTGTAGTTACTAGTACCCACCCAATAGCTATATGTACATTTTCATGAAATTCAGCATGCCACCTGCATAGTGATGCAACTTATTGTGTTTAACTAGTTACTAACCCGAAAACCCTTTTTTCGGTTCCTTTGATGAGTTGAAAAACCATCAACTAGTTTGAATTACTGCTATTCAAATGTCAAAGCACATGCTATCAAAAACTGTAACGGTGCCCCCAAAGTGGCGTCATTAAAACGATTAAATTCTGTGAGTCTTCTCACTTTCGTCGTCCTTCTTGCAGCAGAGTTCGGTGAAGAAGAGGTAGAATGTCTCGAAGATGGAGAGTGGAGGGGGGAGGACTGGCTTGTCACTGTACTCCTGACACAGCAGAAACATCTCATTCTTCCACTCTATCGTCGAGTTCTCAGCCACCACCTACACACAAAGAGAAATGGCTATTCATAGGTAGCACAACAGTTCCGAAAAAAGATATTGTTCAACAGTGCCGAGAACAAAAAATTGTTCAATAGTGGCGGAAATTAAATGATGTTCAACCGCACCGAAAAAAAAAGATATTTTTCAACAGTGGCGGAAATTAAATACAACGCCGAAAGACAAAGCCAAACACTACTGAACCGGATATCACAGAAACGAGTAAAAAAACGTAAGCCGCACTAGGTATATGATATAAGCCGAACAGAGATAACAACATTGTGTCTGATTGTATAGACAAGTGAATCTCTTCAACTAGTTCCCTCACTATGATATCATTTAAGGAATTCCAACCCTATATAGAACTAACGCAACGGTTAAGTATATGTGATTTTTGTACTTAGTAACGAATCCCCCCTTTGCAAAATGGTGGGGGGGGGGGTAGTAAAGAGATCCAGCCAGAATATGTACCTCGTAGATGTGTCCGAAGATGGCGATGAGGAGGTTGAGGATGAGGACATTGCCAATAAGCAGGTAGGCAGCCAACAGCCACACAGTCAAACTAGCCTGGAACTCATTCTGCTCAAATACAGACGAAGTTCCATTCGAATCCGGATCGGATCCATTCGCCTGGCGATCTATTCAACATAAAATGTTACTCAAATGTGGGATCAACATTACTAGGTATGATAAAGCTCAGGTTATCCTAGTGTTATTGCAAATTTTATATGCTATTGGGAATTAATTACTATTTATCCTTCTTGTTGGTCAATTCAAAATGTTCTGTTTTCGGCTAGAGTACATTATAACCCTGATCTTCATCTACTAGCTAGAATATAGTTAAAAGCTCCACAAATCGATTCTGGTATTTTTCAACCAAGAGGATCTTTTGGTGCGAATAAAATCTATGGGTGTAAGGTTTCAAAGCCGAAAAGATCGAGAGTCAAATTTTGTATCTATGGCGTGCAGGGCGCGTGGGTTATCAACCGTGCTATTGGAGAAAGTACTCAGGTTTTTTCTAAGTTTAATGAACTGTTTTATGGATTTTTTGCCACTTCGGCGGTTTTTCGTGCGTGCAGAAATCGAAAAAAATTCATGTGATCGTCGCCTAAGTGAGGTCATATATGTTATTTCTGAACGTTTCTAACCCGCTCCAGCAGCACAATGCCTAACGCCCCCGCATTAGAGTTCATACTACTTGAGATGATCAAAAACAAATTGATTTAGTAAAATTCGCTCACCGTCTCCTAATTGATTAGTACAAAAACAAAGCCAACAGACAGTTGGAAAAGAGTCAATGAACGCAAGCAGAATAAAAACTCCGAAATCTTTTCTGAACTTTCCAATTTTCAAAAAAAGGTGGCCTTTAAACTCTTTGAAAAGTTGAATCAATTTGCGATTGACATTTTTTGACGAAACTAACCCAATTTGAGAAAACTGGATCAATAGATAAAAATTTTATTTCATTGGGAAATCTCAAAGTTAAATACCGTTTTCAAAATTAGAAGTGGAACAGGTTTTGCAGTTCGATATTGGAGTTTGCCTTCCTTTTAACAAAGGAAAACTAACTTGAAAAGAAATCGAAATCAAACCGCAAAAAGTAAAACTTTTTCGAACTTATCCTGAAAAAAAAAACGAAAAAATAATCATGACCTGCCTAAGAGTCTTAATCTGCTCTTGAAAAAGGTTGAAACAAAATTCATATTTTTGATAGCAAATGCTGTGAAAAAGATGCGCCTCTGTTTTCTTTTCTGTCTATTCTGGTTATGTATATAATCGTTATTTCCATGCTATAGTGGTCATGAAACAATTTTTTAAAAGCAATTTTAATGATTGAATCAGCTTCTTTTTCTTCCGCCAATCGCCCCTGTAGGAGAACGCCTTATCTCTGAGCCTTTAATTTTTTTGGCTCCCTATATTTGTAGCTTCCTTTCTGGGCATAGAACGCAAGTTTTGTTTTACGTTTTGTATACTGCAACTGTTGGTGTCACATCCCGTTCCAGGTTTTGCGACTAAGTATAAATTACATTTATATAAAAAGCGCTATAAAATTTACTCAGAGTTTTAAATACTGCACGCATCGAACATCTGTATTGGCACTCCAAAAAGTTGGCCGGATATACTTTGTTTTTCCTCTAACTTGGAGAAGCGATTCATCAGTTCTTTCATAACTCAACAGGGGCAACAGCATGACGTAGAGATAACTTTGCATCAAGCAATCTCAAAATTTGAAAAACAAGCTTTGCAATTTAAAAAAAATCTAATTCGATACTTAGTCGGCAGCCAATAAAGCTCGGTTAGCGACGAAGATATATGATCTCAACGTTTAAGCAGAAAGCGAAACGAGTAGCTGCATTCTGTGCGAGCAGAAGTTTGTAATTCTGATCAGTCGACAAACCAAAAAAGAGGCTGTTAGTCATCCAGCTTTGAAATAACAAAGGAGCGAACTAAATTAGCAGCGTTTGCAGATGATACATATTTACGTATACCCCAAAACTTTTCTATCACCATCACAGAGAGCCTCAAAGATCGATAGAAGGCTATGTTTAATTGGCTGTCGTCAGCATATTTGCGGTATGGCACAGCTATTTCTCTAAATACATCCTCAACAAGGAGAAAAACAAAAAATGAAATTGACTTCTTGCATGGAATGTTTATTGCCCTCACATATCACTCTGTCAGATTTGTCAGTCAAAAAGTTGTGGAACTCGGATGGTACTTTGCCCCTTCTTCCCAACCTGTTCTGCTAAATTGAAAACAGAGATCGTCTGCGGCAAAGAGTATCAAGACACTGCTGAGGTCATTAGACTAATAGAGATTTCTCCTTTTTCAACCATAGCAGCTATATCACATGTGAATTTCAGCAGAGCTCATTCAGATGATTTTTTAGATAAATGAGCAGACTGGTTTGAGTCCAACAGACAACTACCAGGCAGCTACATGTTTCTCTACAATCTTGCTCAGTATTGAAACATTCGTGATTTTTCGAAAATTACCTAATTTATCGCCCTTCGGTGAAGCTTTCTTCAACAATGGGGATGACTGGCCAATCTTCAGCAAGTCTGGAACTTCGCCGGTTTTGAGTGAAATATTCGAGCATTCCAACAAATCATATGCAAAAGAACGATAGACCGCTTTGATCATTTTCAATCAAAATAAACATCTGCCGTTGTCGAGTCACTAACGGCACATATATTTTGCAAAAAAGAGGAGCGTTTTTTACGAGCAATTCTAAAAGAACACAAGCGGTTTTCAATCGCTGCCTATTTTCTTGCTAAACATCTCTGAGCCACTCCTTTATCATCAACCAAATCCTTTATCGTCATTCTCTGCGAACCGTTTCCACAAAAGTGGATAGAGATTGTCTTGTATATGCTTCTCAAGGCGAGTCCCAGAACTAAAACATGTCTTCAATTCCTTTTCAAATGCACTCGCACTACAAGCACGTTTTTTCCCCAGAAATAACTGATTGGCATCAATGCCTTCTCGATATTCGTGGAAAAGAACACAGATCAGCAAATATACCGGTAATACTCACAACTGATGAACACAAAATTTGATCAATTTTATGTCCACGTCGATAAGTGGGAAAAAACACTATCTGTTCAATTCCTGTCTCGAGCATTAAATACAGTCACAAAGATTATTAAAATGAAGGTTGAAATCGTTCAAAGCAAGCGCAATGTGTTACTGGATTTAAAAATTCTGACAAGAAAGCAACCAAAGACGCCGAGGAGGGGGGGGGGGTCAATTAAGGAGGCAAATAAAAATCGGATCTCTGCTTGCTGTTAATTCCCGTCCAAAAAACTATATACTGTGAATTTTCCACCTCTCGAGCTTGTTTACTTGATACTTTGTGTTGTAAATCAGAAGTAACCCATCCCTTCTTTCATCGTTTCTATTCGCACTGATTATTTCTAAATTTTTCAATTGGAGAGCGTTGTTTGACTATTTTTAGCAAACAATTTTGAATTGAACTTCACTAATCAAAACTTCGAAAAAAATTCAAAATTAAAACGGCGAAAAATCCTATTTGAGCGTGAACACTTTTTAAGAAGTTATCTTGAAAAAAAAACTGCAGACCTAAATAAGTGATATATCAACTCGTTCATTAACACTTAACAAAAAAAAATATTTTAGAGCAATGCTCTGCAAGCGAAACAGCAGTGAAAAACGCTCTAATAGTGTCAACAATTTTTTTTTTAAATAAGATAAAACTAATAAAAACATCTGCCATGTACTGGAATCAAAACCCAATCTGGAGATGAAGAGTCACTCGACTTAGCATCGGCATCATAGGCTCTCAAAAATCTTGCAATAATGCTATGCAGCAAAAAAATAGATACTGTTGATTAAAAAAAATCACCAAATAAATTTGCACTTTTATTTGCGTCTTGAGTTGGACAAAAAATGATAACGTAATATGACACTGAGCTCCACTTGTGTATTCTTATACAAGTACTCAAAACTTTTTCCAGCAGTTTAGTTAATCAACTCTCTTCAACTTTGTTTGACTAAGTAGAATGCTCACTTCGACATAATTTGTTCACAAATTCTTTTAATTAGTGCGTAATGATTAAAAAAAAACAGCCAACAGACAGCTGAAAAGAAAAAAGAACACAAGGAAACAGAAAAAAAACTGACTTGTTTTTTTTTAAACTTCAACTCTCTAACTTTAAAGCAAAATGATAGCGTTAAAACGATTTGAATTTCACGAAAAAATTTCTCAAAAACATAATTTGTCTTTGCATAATTTGTTGAATATTTTCAAATTTTTTATTTCAAATTGTGTCATGCTCATGGTTGAAATTTCCAACGGAGGAATCGATCTTCCGAACAGAAAAGAATTGATAGGCAAAAAATAAGAAAGATAATAACACAATTCCAAGAGTGAATCTTGTCAGCTTTCCCATTGTACTGAGCACGTTTGAATAAAAATTTGCGTTAAAAATATCAACAAGAAATACCTCATCAGTAAATATATAATGCATTCAATTATTTTCTTCTTTTGAAAGTCTATTAAAGTAAGAAAATTAAACTTTCAAGCCAGTTGTGAGGAATGGCCTATAGAATATGTTTAATTTTACAAACCAATAAGTTTGTTATTCATCTTTAGCACATTCAAAAGAACACTTAGCGTACAAATGAGACCAAAACCTAAAAGTCATTCAACATTAACCAAGATGCGAAGCGCGAACAATAGCGAGAACACGACAAAAATCAGCGCTGGAAAAAGCAAAAGAAAAATTAGAAATAAGCCTCGAATTAGCAAAAACTCGACTAGGTCTAGGATTCGATCTGCGACCTACCGCAATCAGGCGATTTTCAGTTTCACGCACAAACCACCCAGCCACGTACGCTTAACCACCATCACGAAACACTAGTCACGAAATACTAGTCACGAAATACTAGTCTTCAAACACTAGTCACGAATAAAGCAGCTACATATGCTATCAAGACTGCCGCTGCCTTTTATGCAGCTGACTTCTTTTCACTTCTCTCAATATCTTCCAGGTTGCTTCCTCGAAAATCAGTTGCCTTTGTAAACTAAGTCTAAGGTTCGAGTTGTGGCCAGACCTTGTTTTTTCAAGGAAATTGGAAAAACATTCAGAGAGGAAACAAATTTTAAGGTCCATGGAGCAGTAATAACAAGAAAAAATTAAATGAAAAATAATATTGATTTTTTTTAAATTTGAGATTTTTGTGAAAATCATCCTCCCTCACGCCACATTAAGAACAAAGTGATATATTTCGCTCCTAGTAACAATTCAATTATGACAAATAAGCTTCCTTCAACCAATTTTGAACGATTTCGAGGACGTAAATCTCCGCTTACGCGTTCAAAGCTCTAAATTAATCGCGCGTTAATTGTCCCAAATTGACCAAAATGGCAATCTTTAAACTCTCATAATATAAAATAATCACAGATGAAAAATCTTTTCAATTTTAAGCTCAAAACAACAATACTTTTTGAATGATATAAAAAAATTCTGTCAAAAATTGCCAGTTTAAAACCGACATTTTTCTGAAAAAAAAACCACCCCGAGCACAATTATTCCGTTACTTTCGTTTCGAAAGTCGGAACAATAAAATGCCAATACGATTCAGCAAAAGAGGCACCAAATACAAATGGACACAATTTTGCAAGTAATAATTTAACAAACTTAAGGCATCCACATTAACTTTACATGTAAAACATCGCCAAGCATAAAGTCACTTTTGAAATCGAGTTTTTTATTGTTATATTGTTTGGAACAAATAGCTTCTGAAATCGAGTTTTTTATTGTTATATTGTTTGGAACAAATAGCTTTTGTCGGTTCATTTGATGAAATTAAAATACATCAACTGTGTCACTTTATTACTAATCGAATGTCAAAGCACATGCTATCAAAAAGCTGTAAAGGTGTCCCAAAAGTTGCACCAATATTTGCGACTTAGGTTGGAAAAAAGAAGATTCTTAATAATACACTAAGGGGACGCTAGTGTAAACAGACAAAAAGCTGAAAAACTAGTACTTCATAATTTATTTCTACAATTTTACTTGCCATATAAATAGATGACGATCCTCCATTTTCTCAGAGGTGGCTATCGAGTTCTCTCAAAACATTAGAAGATAGCTAGGAAAATTAAAAACAATGGCGAAAAAATTGAACAAATAACGTCTTTAAGCCCGAGTTTTTTTGTTCTTCTGCTCTTACTTCACGCTCAAGGTTCGTATAGAAAGGCGCTCAAGGCTGACCCCTTGAGAAAAATACTTTGACTGGTCCGTATGTTGTGATATGGGTATTCTTTGTTTGGCTCGAACCCCTTAAGTCTGGGGCAAGGAGGAGAGAAGCGGCCGTCTCCCCTACCCGCCCCAAGAACTATAGTCTGCAAGCTATGTTAATTAAATTTGATTTTTCGCAAATGAGTTAACAAAATTATAATAAAAAATATCAGCATGTTATCTAATTAAATTCGATTTTTCGAAAATGAGTTAGCAAAATTAGAATTGAAATTATCAGCATGTTATTTGCTTTTCAATTACTATTTTTAAACCATTGGAAAGATGCATTCATTCAGTAAGTATCGTTGCAAAACTGTTGGTTAGCTATGGTTATTATTTACTCCCAGGCGAAAACTTTATTACCAGTGGGATAGCATAATCGTAGATATCAATTCACTACCGCACGTTCTACTCACTAACTGCTAAATTATTCACTAGTTATGTTCAGTTCAGATTCAATTTTTCATCCGGTCAATTTGGGTCAATTAACAGACCGCGCTTCAAGCCACATTTCGCGCCAGTCAGTCAAAAGTAACAGTCTTTTTGATCACTATTTTAACACATTTGTTTCTAGTTAAGAACTAAGATATCATTAGATGGAGTAAAATGAATAATAGAAAAAAATTAGCCAAGACAATTTTTATTAATCGAAAAAAAAAAATGAAATTCTCGGTTGACATGTTTTTACTTTTTCGATAACGCTTTTCTGCCTGAAGAGGATTCGGTTTTTATGGCTTCGGATTAACAACATACCAATGGTACTTACGGTCCACATCAAATTACTATTGATTTCACTTAATATCGCAGATTTTAGCAAGATAAAATTTACCAAAAAAGCTAACAAATCAGGTGGCTAAACCGGATGCCATTTCCAGTCAGTAAACTACCTACGCAATGTTTCCTCCGCTGTTGAAAATGAGACAGAGAGGGCGAAAATGTGGATAGATTCAGTAACTTTCCCTTCTTATGACGCAGAGACGAAGCTGCACTTCGCAAATACAAGCACATGAGCAGCAAAAAACAGCACTACAGAACGGCAACAAAATGCTGAAATAGCTTTGAAGAAAAAGCTGAAAAAAAAACAGAAACAAGCTGTGAAGGATTCTCAACTTTCAAAATTAGCAATTAGTGAAAAATTTATCTTGCATCAAGAAAAAAGTAGAACTATAGAATTCATTAGCTGGCTTCAATTCAGTTCGGAATAATTAATTGAACAGGTCGCAACCAGGAAGAATTCGACTCGCTCAAAAAGGTCGCGCTTAAACGTTGGGTATCATAGATCAAAGCGTAAAAACAGCAAAATGACAGCTTAATGTTTACAAATAAGAAACTGCACTTTCCATACACGGCAAAAACATATTTAAAAAAGAAGAAACTAATTATGCAAAGTCAAGTTAAATACTTCGGTTTTTCTCCAACATATTCTTTAAGCCAGTTTACATTTAATTTTTGCAGACTTAGGATATGCAGTTGCATAAATGAGATAAAAAACCGAAAAACATAGCCAATCGAATATTTGAAAAGAGTAATGAACGCAAGTAAAGATAAAAAAACACTTACTTTCTTGAAAAAATCTCAACTTTCGAATTTCAAAGAAAAAAATAGATGCCCTTTAAACTCTTTGAATTTCTAAAACAATTTATGATTGGCGCTTTTTTGATAACATGAACTCAAATTGAGAAAACTGGATCAATAGGTTAAGTTTCTTATTCCGCTCGGAAATCTAAAAATTAAATTCTATTTTTGAAACTAGAAATCGTTTACGAATTTTTGCGCCATTTCCACGTTTGTATTTGGAGAGTGCTATTTACTTCACTTTCAGCAGATGAATTTCAATTGAACTCAAAAGTGCATATATACCTAAGTGGATTCATAAATGCATCAATATGTATGAATGCACATCTGTAGTTATTAGAGACTTTTAAGACTTTTCCTGAAAAAAAACAAAAAAAAATCAGCAAGACCTATATAAGAGTCTTCCCTACGTTCAGTACTCTTTAAAAAATAATGTATTTTTCGTTGAAATCACAAAAAAATCACCTTAAAAATTATTTCCGATTTTCTTCTTTGAAGCTACGATATTTATGAATCTTCTACGCACATTTTTTCGATAAAAAACTATTTTAAAATGAAATTCCGCAGGGTAACCTCAAAATCAAGCCCACTTTTGAATCATTCCCGTTTTTGCGCGCTGTAGATATTTTTACTGGATAACTACAGTTCAATTGAATTAAAAGTGAACTCACACGACCATTCCCTTATTTTATTGACACTTGATCAGCGAATGAAAAGTGTTTATTAACTCAATAAAAATCAAAACGACCAATTTTTAGTTCAAATTTTTGGATTCAAAGAATCAAATAGATCACCCTTGAAAAACAAAACAGAGTTCCTCCCCATTTTCAAATGGTCGGAACTATAAATATAACAGGACCAAAAGTCAATTTTGTTAGTTTTCTAGAAATACAGTTGAATCCACCGTTGAAAATTAAGTCATAATTATTTTTCGTTTGGAGACAAATTAACGCACTTTGAGAAACCGAATCAATGGGCAGACTTCAAATATGCTAGCCATACGCGGTCAGCTACGAACTTGTTTTGAGACACCCGAGCGAAAATCGCTGGAAACGTCTGAATGAAATAAAAAGTACTGGGTTAAAAATAAAAATTTCCGATATTCGGACTATATAGTTTTGTACTAGATACATATGATACTTTTACGAAGTCCAAATACACGAAGTCTTGAATGCATGTTTGAAAGGTTCGCAAAAATTATACACAGGAGAATACAGTGACTAATACACTAACAGTATTCAATAGAAAACAGTAATAGCTAGTCTAATTCAGAAGTCTTCTGAAAGATCGATTTAGTTGGATTAGGTCGAAATTCTCCAGTTACTGGTCATGATTAACAAATAGGGACACTTTCACAGGAAACTGCTTTCAAATCTTTACCATTCTTTTTCAGTGAAAGGATCATTTCAGAAAACAAAGCATTTAGTTATTTCTGCACACTATTGTTTCGCGGGTTAGCCAACCTTACCTGGATCTTCTAGCCGTTCTGGCGAAAAATAAACAAGGATTCACTCAAATGAAGCAGATACTGTATTCTTATTTCTAGTGTTTTGAAAAATTCTATGAAGTTACGACTGTCTTCATTTCATGAGCTGATGATTTTAACAAAACAGATGTAATTAACGGAGTTACTGATTAACTAAATTTTGATATCCTTCGTCGAATCGTCATTTAGACAAAAGACTGCTCTTCTAATTAGCTCGGTGTTGATCTAGGAGAATGAGGAGTAATGTCAAGGTATTTGTGTAAAAAGAACGTTGTAAATATGTCAGCTAATAACTTCATTAAATGCCTAGATACGCAAAATGTCCTAGATACGCAAAACGTCCTAGATACGCGATTAACCTTACTAAATCGTTCTCGATAGATCAAAAAAAATTCAATTTATATGCTGCTATGGCTGGCACACCTGAACAATCTCCCCCTTAATAGACTTAAGTGAACAATCTCCCCCTAAAATTAAATGACAATTTCAAAGCAGTGGTGCCTCAATGTAGTATGCTCAAATCTGATTAGCTGAAAAATATTAGATAACTATCTCCTCCCTACTTTGATAAAGGAGCGCGAGATAGTTCACTTGGTATCTATAATAGCTACTCACTTTCAACCAGTGTCTCCAAGAACAGTTCTCCGAACATCTGCAGAGAAGGAATCAACACTACGAACTCCAACGTGTCCGTGAGAGGCTTCTCCTTCAGCTGCTCCTGGGTGAAGATGAGAGCGATGGTGCAGATGCCATAGCCAAGGAGGAACACCAGCAACACTGTGATGAAGATGAGCATCTCTTTGAACATCTTCCGCATCATGATCCACAGAGGTCCCAGACGACCGATGGCCTACAGATTCACACAACCCTCATTTAAATCACAATTCTCCTCAAACAGCTCATCACCAAAATGTCTTTAAACATGTTAACATTTTGTCGGAACGATCTAAGAGAATGAAAAGAACAAAAGGAGCGTCCTTGTTGCGGAATCCGCTTACAATTCACAAAATGCACAGTTTGGCCTCGTAACACCATCCTTTTAGTCATAACTGCAGAGGCGGAGTGAAAAAGGACCATTTATAGAGATCCTTGTTTAGTCGTCAACCTAGAACTTTTCCAACTTGACACCAACATAGAGTAATTTACAGAAAAGCGCGCGCCAAAAAAATGCAGATTTTTGTTCAAAACCCACCAAAAAAATTCCTAAAACGGCAATTTGTTGTTTTTTATTCAAATATTACCTGCAGCGCTGACTTTTTTTTGGCAAAGTTGGGTATAGTATTTTGAAATAGCTCGGAAAATCAGCTTGGTCGACGCAAAAAAAGGTTGGTAATTTTTGAACATTTTTTGGAAACACCTTCGAGAAAATCCTGGCTTCGTCCCAGCATTATAGCATGAAAAATAAGGCTTAGTAGGGTTTGAAACGAGATTATTTATCTAATAATATTTTATTTTCTACTCTCATTATAATTGGCGCCTAAAACCATGATGTCATATGATTCTTTTGTTCTGATGTGTTTTCATGTAGAAAAAGGATCAGTCAATCTTCACTATCTTTATCAAAAAATGTGGTCAACTTTTTCTTAATTAGAACAATGTTACTATATCTTGGCGTTGTAGCTAATATTGTATCTTGTTGTTCGGAATAACTTCTAATTTATTCCAGTCTTTTCTCGGTTCGTCCAAAACGTTGTTTCCTGCAATCTGAATTAAAATTCTTTTCTACAGCTAAAGGGAATATATTTGTTAGCTCCGTAATATGGTGGCGATGTTTTCAACCAATCAGGGCTTTTTCAGGGGCTTTTATGAAAGACTTTAAAAAGGATTTTTAACACAGAGGCGAAACTGAGCTCCGCACCACTTGCGATCAAAAGAACCAAAGATCGAAAAAAACTAGATCTATTAAATGAATAAAACTAGTTTTGAAACAAAAACATGCCAAGACAATAGAATCTGTAATAAGCATCGGAAGATAATGTACCCAGCTGTAACAAAGCCGAAAATACCGTCAGAAACCTTGTCAGAAGTCGAAAAAAAATCAACAAACTACTGAATGGTTAATAAGTCCACCTCACCCTCAATACATTATGAGCTCACTAAGCCGATATATTATAGGCCAAAACCTATTAAACCAAACAAAATGAAAATAAAAACAACCGAAAAAAATTTTTTGTAAAAATTTAAGACAAATAAAAAGTTATAAAGTCCCCCTGAGCCGCAAACCAGACACGCACACAGAAAACATTTTTTTTAGCTCGTCGAAAGATGCAATATGAGGCCAATAAGCCGATATAATGTAGGCCAAAACCTATCAAGCCGAACAAAGGAGAAAAAAAGTCGAAAAAAAATTGTTAGCATGAAAAACTTGAACTATAATTCTATAGGAATTTTAGCATTTTGTGCAACCCGGAGATGAGCAGTAAATATATGTTTCCGTTGAAACGACTCAAAACTAGGCCACTGAGCCGATAAAAAATAGAATAGGACGAAATCATATCGGCAGAATAAAGTTTATAAACGAAAAGATATTTATATAAACGAGGTCAAGTTTAGTTAAAATACTAACAGCACAGATTGATATAAGAACATAAAAGCAACCATAATGTGAAAAAAATTTAAAAAACACTATACAATATGTCAAATAAGCCGACAAAACATCGGCAGACAATCCTCAGCCGACATTTTTTTTTTTCAAACGGACTATTTCCAGTTTGAACAAAAAACAGGTCCGGTCAGTTTAGAACCCGGGACCCTTGGCGTCTCAGACGTATTCGTTAACTCCAGACTAAGTGTGCCGGAGATGCTCAGAAATTTGAATTCATTATGAACCAAGACACCAAATGATTCTGCTAAACTAGTTGATAACCCGAAAAAAGTCCATATTCCAGTTTGATAACGCTTGCTCATCTGATCGCAAGCGTAAAAACGAGCCCTAGCTTCCTGATACTCGTCTCTCACCTGGTAGAGTCTGATCACTCTGAGCCACAAGAGGAGAGTGACCATGCCATAGAGAATACGGGACACCTCCCTCATACTGCCTATGGCACTCAGTCCAAATGCAGTGAAGATCATGGACAGGTAGATGACGTCTATGATGTTCCACTCGGACGCCAAGTACCCCTTCAGCTTCTTACTCCAAGTCGCATCTTCAGTCACCAACTACAAACAAACAAACAAACAAACAAAAACAATCAATACAAAAATTATATTCCCTTTCAAACTAGAAAGCAGCTAAAGGTCAAACTACGAAAAAAACGTCCTTCTAATCAATTTCGGTCGAAAAGGGACACCGGCATACGCATGATATTTGGTTAAAAAGCCACAAACATCAAAATTGTCTGCACACCCAAACTTATTTGCCCAACTTTTTATAAGAACTTTTACTAAGAATCTTAGACACATCTGCCAGACGTTTTAGAACGTAAGCTACCATAAGTTGTGGCATTGAACTTGATTTCACATATCAGTGCAATTATGATAGTTTACGTTCTACAATGTCACAAAGATTTGCCTGAGAATAATTCGGGAAAAATTCGTTAATATTTAGGAAATCTTGGGAAAAATTCGATAATATTTAGAAAATATTTGACATCAAATTACATACTACCGATTGAGCGAGATAAACTGAAGATCTCAAGTATTTGATAACTGATGAAAATGCTTGAAATTGAGAGACCCAATTACTTTATCTTTATTATCGTAATCATCTTAAGCTGCTTTCTCATTTCTCAAACCAAACAACCTTTATAAAGCGGTAACTTCCTTCTCAAAACATGGTGCGAAAGGAGATAGGCAATAAAATCCCGTGTGTTACTTGTGACTCAATTGGGTGAATGAACGCAGAAGTCAATTGATGAAGGATTGATAGCTCATTTGGCAAGGCCACGTTTCCTCGAAAGCAACAAATCGCAGAATTTAGAAGAGAGAAAATTAAAAAGTAATAGCACAAATTAGTTTCGTGAGCTATTCTACATCAGATTTTCGGCCGGTTAAGACATGGCTGTTTGATTGCTGTAATTTGCTGAATATATTAATTTCGTATATGCTTTAAAATCATTTAGGTTATTTTTTGCCAAGAACTTCGAGACTCTACGAACTATCACTTTCGACGAATTATTGCCTCACAATGCTTTTTCATTGCTTCTAAATGAGCTAAAGCTGCAACTCTGCATAATTTCGAGAATACTTCTTCAATTTATATTTAATTTATTACACCATGATGACAATTAATAATTAGTGAAGATAGCACTTAATTTTAACACGCAAAATGCTGCTGAAAACAATCTTTACATAAAAAGATTTGCGAAGACCAAAACACGTCAAAAATTTTAATTTCAAATATTCCCGATGAAGCCAATCATATCTATGATGTATGTTTAATGGCTTCAAAGCTGAATTTAGCTAAGCTTTCCCCAAGAAAAAATATATATTTTTTTCTAATTTTAAGTCTGTTAACAGAACTTGATTTCAAATTCACTTTAGCTCACCTATTTATCAGAATTTTTCAACACATTTTTATTCGTAGATAACCCCTAATCGCAAATTCAATTTCATGCGCATGGAAGCAGCTCAATGCCACGCATGAAAAAATAATAGTAAAAATTCGGTGGTTTATTTCAAAGCAATGCATTTGTCTTTGGGACAGCACACAATTAAGATGGCAAACTTCCCCTAGCTAGAGCTTAAGTACTGGATCTAATCTATCAGTGGTTTTTCAGCTAAGTAGTCTGCCACAATTGAATTGAACACTTAATCCAAATTGTCTGGAAAATATAAACTGAACGAGATTTCATAAGGCTAAAAATTCGGATCATATCCGTCTATAAACTACGTCAACAGTTTTGAATTTGAATTCATTTATCCACAACTGTTTTCAACATAAAGGGAATACATTGGATAGAAGCCGCAGTTCACCTACAGAAACCATCTCAAATTAAGGGGATAACTAACCAGCATGCAGAACGGCCGAACACAAAACAACTAAAAAATCAGCCGAGAGAAAAAAGTGTCGGAAAAAAATTAGCAAGCAATGAAACCAAAAAAAACAACGGATGAAAAAAATGTGAAAAGACTGCATCCATGTGTGACTTTAGAATTTCAAAAATCGTATATAATTTGGACCTTTTTCTTAGTAAAATAACAAAAAGAGAGAAAAATAGATCAACATGATAACCTCTCATTTAGCACACGAAATCAAAGTGATTTTAAGAAGAAATCAAACATCACATCGCAAAAGTGTAAAAAGAGCTTGAATAAGGTTTTTTCAGAAAAAAAACAAACAAATAAACACGAGGCCGTTAAAAAAAATTCACTTCAGAAACCCTTTGCGCTGTTTGATAGTGGAGTTTGTCTTCTTTGAACTGTAAAAGAAATTGAAAAGAACTGTAGAAGAAATCAAAAGCCAAACCACAAAAAAAAAATTAGCCTGAACAACTGTCATGATTTTTCCTTAAAACGAAAAAAAAATCATCGTGACTTTTATAAGAGTTTGATCTAGGTTTATCGACTCTTAATCCTCATTCGAAACTAACAGTCACTCAAGTTTCTAACGCTATTTGCACATTTGTAATAGAAGAGCGTAATTTGGCTTCCTTCTAGCAAATGAATTTTAATTGAACGTAATAAAAAATCAGAAGCCAAGCCGTAATAGATCAAACTTGAGCGTGAACAAGAATTTTTCACAAAAAAATAAACAAGACTTATAAACAAGAGCCAAAAAATGACACCATTTAAGCCGAGTAATTGACATTGCAGCAATTGAACTTTTCAACACATACAGCTTGCAAAAAGTACAACTCATGGCCTGCGTCAATCCCTAGAAATGTGAAGTCCCAGACACGTGCATGCGCATTACCTCTGCGCCAAATGAGCAAAATTAGAAGCTGAAACTTGCTATGCTAATTAATCATACTGATTAATTCTGAACAAAGTTTTCACACAGAGGCGAAGTCGCACTTCGCATACACAGAAAAAATATGACCGATTACGCTACTGGGAAAAACTGAATGAGTAAAACTTTGAGTCTACAAAATTTCTTAAGTGACGCACGCCAATTCTGCCGCATTAGCAGTACCAGTCAATTTGAAAAAAAAGTGACCAACTAACATGCCTCAATTTATAGAGCAGTCTATGGAGCAGTAATCACATGAAAAAATCAAATGTAATAAAAATGAGTTGATTTTTTTTAATTTGAGATTTTTTTTGTAAAAATCATCCCCCACACGCCATATTAAGTACAAAAGGATAGATTTCGCTAATTGTAAGAAATCAATTATGGCAAATAAGCTTCGTTTAACCAATTAAATGTAATAAAATAAAAATAATTTTTTTTTTTTAATTTGAAATTTTTTTATGAAAATCATCCCCCCACACGCAATTTAAAGTACAAAAAGATAAATTTAGCTCCTAGTAACAAATCAACTATGGTAAATAATCTTCCTTCAACCAATTTGGAACTTTTTTTTTGACTGATTAATCTCTGCTTACGCGTTCATAGCGCAAAATATATCGCGCTGAATGGTCCCAAATTGGCCAAAATGGCAATTTTTATACCCCCATAACTTTACAAAAAAAGATCACAGGGGAAATCTCTTTCCAAATTTAAGCTCAGAACAACAATACTTTTTGAATGATATAAAAACAATCCCGTCAAAAATGGCTAGTTAAAAAGTCAAAATTTGTCTGAAAAAAAAAACCACCCGGAGGACAAATATTCCGTTATTTTCGTTCGTTACGAAAGTCGGAACAATAATAGTCTGTATTAAAATCCTTAGCATTGACTGTACTAAATAGTCGGTTATTGATCAAAATGAACACTTTCAAAGTGGACACATTTTCTCGCAACAATATTTGCGTCGCAACAATATTTGCGACTTAGGTTGGAAAAAAAGATAGTTCATACTATAACACAAGCATTGCTTGTGTAAACAAGATAAACGTCCAGTACCCCAGTTGCAATATCCTTGCTCATCGAAAGGAACAAAATGCACTCAAATGCTTAAAAAAACGAGTTTGAATCACAGAGGCGAAGTCGCACTTCGCATACACAGAAAAAATATGACCGATAACGCTACTGAGAAAAACTGAATGAGTAAAACTTTGAGTCTACAAAATTTCTTAAGTGACGCACGCCAATTCCGCCACATTAGCAGTACCAGTCAATTTGAAAAAAAATGACCAACTAACATGCCTCAATTTATAGAGCAGTCTATGGAGCAGTAATCACATGAAAAAATCAAATGTAATAAAAATGAGTTGATTTTTTTTAATTTGAGATTTTTTTGTAAAAATCATCCCCCACACGCCATATTAAGTACAAAGTGATAAATTTAGCTCCTAGTAACAAATCAACTATGGTAAATAATCTTCCTTCAACCAATTTGGAACTTTGTTTTTTGACTGATTAATCTCTGCTTACGCGTTTATAGCGCAAAATATATCGCGCTGAATGGTCCCAAATTGGCCAAAATGGCAATTTTTATACCCCCATAACTTTACAAAAAATGATCACAGGGGAAATATCTTTCCAAATTTAAGCTCAGAACAACAATACTTTTTGAATGATATAAAAACAATCCCGTCAAAAATGGCTAGTTAAAAAGTCAAAATTTGTCTGAAAAAAAACCACCCGGAGGACAAATATTCCGTTACTTTCGTTACGAAAGTCGGAACAAAAATAGTCTGTATTAAAATCCTTAGCATTGACTGTACTAAATAGTCGGTTATTGATCAAAATGAACACTTTCAAAGTGGACACATTTTACCGCAACAATATTTGCGTCGCACCAATATTTGCGACTTAGGTTGGAAAAAAAGATAGTTGATACTATAACGCAAGCATTGCTTGTGTAAACAAGATAAACGTCCAGTACCCCAGTTGCAATATCCTTGCTCATCGAAAGGAACAAAATGCACTCAAATGCTTAAAAAACGAGTTTGAATCACAGATGCCAACTCTCATCTCAAACTCTAGTAAAAACAAAACAAATGATTGATTAAAAAAATTGCGACAATTTTGCTACCAAAAATTCGACTAGCTCTATATTTTAGAGCAGAGTGTAAAAATCGTGTTAAATGCGCTTCGCGCATGCAAAAAGGATTGAAAAATTCATCTTGAACAAACAAGCCGACAGCGCGCTTGAGATTCTAAAAAAGTTGTAACACTTTTTATGCTTCTGGATCATTCTGCAGACCAACTAAGGGTACTTCTTTTTATGCTTCTGGATCATTCTGCAGACCAACTAAGGGTAATTCGGAAATGATCCCAAATTTCAGGTTAAATGAAAATGAGTCGCAGGAAGAAAGCGTAGAAAGAAAAGTAGCAAATAAGCACCTCCGGTTGAGAAAGCTGAAACAGTCAAAATTACTGCGATATCTAACTGAAAAGTAATGATGCGATATCTAACTGAAAAGTAGTGATGCGATAGCCTGAAACAACTGCAGCTTCAAACTAAAAGAACATCAAAACATGAAATAAATATTAGTAGTTTACTTGCTACAACTTAGAAGCTAATTTTTGTACCTAATTCCCGTGAAAGACAGTAATTGTTAACTTTCCTTACTTTCTGTTTAAGCCAATACAAGTTCAGTTCAAATCTAACGACATAAATTACTTCACAGGCCAGGTTTTACGTACAAAAAACTGAAACTAATTTGAAGTAAATAATCGCAGGATCTGGCACATATGAATAAAAATAATTTTGAAAAAAAATGAGAGGCAGCAAGGAAAATCGCGCTGGGGTAATGTTGCAAAGCGCAGAATGATTAAAAATTTCCTTCGTTGTTATGTCTTCAAATATATGATAAGTTTGTTTAAGGCTCACAGAAGTGTTAATAGATTCCGCCACCTAGAAAAATGTTATTGGCAATGTTTTTCCAAAAAATTGAAAAGCTATGCGTTTAATAATAAATTTTTCAAAACTTTAAACATGATGGTTGCTCTTTTTTGACTTTCTAGATAAAAAACAACCAGGCAACTTTTCACCCATAAAAGCTCATCTGCCATCCATGGCTAATTAATTACTCGAGCAGCAGTCACTAAATATACAGCAAATATCGTTCTGAAAGTCAACTGCGCAACAAAATCAATAATTTGAACTGAGAAAAAACAAAAGAACTATATACAAAAAAGCCCATCAAGTATGCGAAATTTTTAGGTTGAAGTTTCATTCGTATTAACACACCTGTCGTATTTCTTCAACCGCATAAGATGTAGCCAAAACTACAACTAGAATCTCCATCCAGTGTATTTTATTCTCACTCGTTATATTCAATACCATCCATGAGTACATGAGAAGAAACACTATATAAGCAGTAGAATGGGTTATGAATTTTGTCACTGGCGCCGTGTAGAATATCTTGGCCTTCTGCAAGAACGAGATGCGAGGCCCACCGTTGAGGCGACCGTTGGCGTCTACCCCATGCTTCTGCGGCACTCGAAAAACGACCTCGAGATTCTCGTTTTCGGCTCCGCAGTTATTCAGTTTCATCCCGTCTCCAACGTGCTCCAGGCGGTCATTGTCTGAACACATTTTGCACATTATGATCCACAATTAGAAAAATTGTTGAATATAATATCGTTTTGTCTAATTTTGGTCGATTTTAAAAACCTTTCAAAAACCAAAACAACAAACAAAGTTATACCATGCACTCAATGCACTCAAAATCACTACAAAAACCTTTTTGAATTGGTATATTCCTAAAAGTGTTCACGCTCAAAAAATTCACGTCAAATTCACGTCAAATTCACAAATGAACTCATGAAATTTTGTCTGACCAAAGTTATCTTTATTGCACAGAAGAGTTTCGTGTTCAGTGGCTGGGATCTGACTATTGGCCACAACTCCAGTTCCCATCACGTCCAACTCATGTTCATTATTCGTGTAATTATCCTCGTCCTCGCCATCTGGCGCCGTCACCACATCCAGGCCACTGATCGCCACTGGATTCACCAAACACCACACGATGTTGAGAACCTTGCAACGAAGGTTTCCCTTCCAGTATCCTTCCACGCACGCTTGCACACAAGCGGTCGCCAGGAAGAATTTGCAATTAGCCAATACTGCAACGTCCATTCTCGTCTTCCCGCGCCAAATTAGACTTTTCTGCTCCACCAGACGCTTAGCCAACTCGTGGTCTGTTTTGTAGCAAACGTCAATCACTCCAACTGCGAGTTCTTGGAACTCTTGTGAGTTTGCTTCAAACTCCGGCTCGAAGACGTCTTCACCAGGCCATAGTCTATGGGCCAAGGATGACCATAGTTTGGACCCTATCAAAGCCAACATTATTGGCTCCTTAGCGTGTGCCCAAAAGAACAGAGCCATTTGTTTGCGGTTCGCCAGAATAGCCCACAGACATAATTCCACGAATGGGTAGTCGAACGTCTTTGTATATCCGTTTTCCTCTGAGGTTATAGTGTCCACTTGCGTTCCCTCTGCATTGTCACGAGACCCGGTGTCTGTTCCAGTGAGTGACCGGAGCAAACGTGACACATCTTTTAGAGTGTACCGTCGGGACTTGTTCTTAGTCCTCACGGTTTTCTTCAGTAGCCAGGCCAACACTTCATTTGACTGGGCCTAAAAACCAACGTACAAATTAAGTTGAAAGACCGATTGCAAATGAAATGATTTTAGAAATCCAGTGACGATTCATCTTCGATTCAGTGACAATACTTTGCTTCAGCAATATTTCAGAGCAAGTGCATACATAATCGAGGACTATATTACGTGGAAAGTTAACAACTTTGGATTTTTCACTCATGGATCAATTAAGACCAATAAATATTTAAGGAAACGGTTGTCTGCGGGTTCTAGGTATGTGTTTTCTACTAATTGTCTCTTACCGCGTAATTGTACAGCAACTCCAGTCGTTTCGCAGTCAAGAAATCCTTCATCACAAACCCACATTCCATGAACAACTTCACAAAGTTAGTCTTACACTCCATAATTGACCTCAGCATCAACTTATCCATGTTCTCCCGCTGGGAAATGTCCATTTCGTTCGAGAGGATGTCCGAGGCTGCGACATCGTCTCGGTTCCAGGTGACTGCCAATTCAAGGGGGTCTTCGTTTTTGGCCACATCCCCTTGCAACAGTGAATGGAGGATCGCGGCATCCAATTCTTGCGTACCACTTTTGCCGACCTAAAAAAACTTTCTTTCCGTTTCCTGCAACATTGCTGTTAACTTTTAATACATAGTTTCTCGAACACTATAACTATCAAGGCTGTAAAAAATATATTGCATTTAAATATATTGGCAATAAATACAATACAATTATATATTTTTTACAGAGAAAAGTAAAACATATTTATTTCATCAGAACAATTCTTGATGTAACAACTTTTTCTGGACAAAGTTCTTAGCGATTGTCGGAAAAGTGTTCTTCCCATTAACTTCAATGACAATGTTTTTCAATGACAATGTAGTAAGTAAATAAATGTCGCTGCAACGAACGTGAAATAAATTCTCCAACTACATTTTTTGGTCGCAAGCGTAAAAATATTCGTTTTTTTTATCGATGAAACAAAAATATAATTATTTTTTTTTAAATGAAAAAATTACATTTAAATATATTTTTTCAGCCCTGATAACTATTGATTTGATTCAACAGCATGTCTACGCATGTTTTATTTATTTAACCACCATATATTGAAGCCGAAATAGGATCAGAATTACGTAACAATTGCATAACAATAATGACAATGTTATTATGTTGCTCAACAATCAAGGTTGCATAAAAATCTGATGTATATTCTCGATTGATTTAAATCCGATTTTTATTATTTTACCTTGATTTTTTCGATTTTTATTGGAAACGTTTTTGTTTCAAGAATCAATTAATTTACGCAAAATTACTGATTCAGCATCCGAAAGAAGAACACAAGTTAACCATATTTTTCTATTCCCAGACAATTTCTGAGACTGGAATGGATAAATCCGAAAGTGATGTAAAATTTTTCTAGTTAAAAGTATGCTATGAAGAGCTAAGTACGTAACCAATGTAAATACTGCTAGCTGGGTTGTATGTTTACCGCGGCACTCGTCAGGATAACACAAGGGTTGATTTTTTTGATTTTGATTCTACGATTAAAATCCGATTTAAATCATTGAATTAAATCAAGTTGATTTTAATCATGCAACCCTGTCAACAATATTAATTTTCGGCTTGTCGGTCTAGTAATCGTATTTTCGTTTTGTTGGCCCTTCGGCTTGTTGGCCTTCCACCATTTGAAGAAGTGTGTTAGTTACCTTGTAGACTGTGAGAAGGTTCTCCTTCTTGATGCAGGTGTTGATGTTCATGATGACGTGTTTCAACTCCGCCTCCACGTCGCCCTCCTGCGGCTGGCCGGGGAAGAAGGCGTCGGCCACCATCTTCTTAATACTCGACTCCTTCTCAGGCGTCAGCCACTTCTCGTTGTCCCTACACAATACAATACATCACTCATCATCATCCCCAACAAAGTCAATTCAATTTTAAATCAACATCCATCTCTTGTATTCTAAGGTGCTTTACAGTTCAAATAGTGATAAAACCACTACTTAGTTCGTAGAACTTGCAGTTTTCCCCGCTTTTAAATGCGCTGCAGATTAATTTTTACTCCATTATTTGAGCATCGAAGTTAACAGTAGCATCACTACAAATAATTTGCTTGCTTTTAATTCAATCTTTCAAATTAAATCTCATCTTCGGAATTTATCCATGATGATATCACTCAACTCAAAAAATTAACCAAAAAGATCAACATCAGCAATACCATTATTACTGAGGTCTACTGCACTTTCGTTTTGGAATTTTTACCCGGAACATATTCTTTAACAAAAACAAAAAACAGTTCACACATTTTGTCCAGAAAATTCTACAAAATATAAGCTTACATTTCTAACTTCATTTACTTAATTAATGAGGCAAAAACCTTTGCTTAAAGTTTTGTTTCAAATTACAACTCCATCAGCTAATCAGACAACAAAATTTCTCATATTAACCATGACACATCTTTTTAGACACTGCTCACTTTAATGCTGAGCTACTTAAAAGATTTTTTAGTCGAGGTAAAATCAGCTTTACCACACAAAGTTTAATAAACGAATTGACCGACCAATCTTTCCAGACCAGTTGTTCATTAAAACTGTCGAACAGTTTTCAATTTCGATCAATGACAGATAATATTACATTTCTGGAAAAAAACTAACAAAAGAATCATCACGACTTATATTGTAATATTCACTAGGCTCATCGACTGTTATTCAAATTAATTCTAGTTGAGAAAACTGGATCAATAGTTAAAAGTTTTATTCCGCAGGAATATCCGAAAAACAAAATACTGTCTTACGTAGAAGTCGATCACGTTTTCTGTGACCTTTACAGTTTTGCTGATCTATTTTTGCCCTTCAATCACCATAAAATGAAGCCACTAAGCCGACATAGCATAACTCGAAATCTATTTAGCCGACAATACCTGCTAAATAAAAAAAAACGGTGAAAAAAATTGTAGAGAAAAGAGTTGGTAATTCTAAAACCAACATTAAAAGTAAATTTCGAACAGAGGGTGTGGTGTGCATTTGAAATGTAAACATGTTCTAAGTTGTTCTGCTGGCGCAGAGCTCTGTTCAGGCCAGGAGATGCATCCTGTGATCAAAGTTATTCAAAAGAAAAAGTCTACTACCCGGTTTAATAAACTTGCCATCGCAAGTTTAATAACTTAGAAAAGTTCGCAAAAACGATAACTTGTCGCCCTATTTACACAATTATTCTATTAAAAAAATATAAAAATTTCAGTGTTTCATGAGCGGTTGGCGTAAATTGATAGAAAACATAACCAATAGAAAGTTGAAAAATAAGTCAATGAACTCAAGGAGACCAAAAAATGATTGCCTTTTTGTGATAAAATATCGACCCAAACTGAGATAATCGGATCAATGGACAGTTTTTTTATTCCACAGTGAGCTCCACAAAAAACTGAAATTTGATTTTAAAAACAAAAGTCAGTCACGTTTTTTTCACGCCATGGTCACCATCGTAATTGAAGAGATTACTTTCCGTTCTTTTTGTCGAATTTATTCGAATTCAATTTAACAATTCCTAAACTTTTCCTAAACACAGAGGCGAAGCTGCGCTCCGCAAACACGAGCGAGAAAACTCTAAGAAAGCAGCCCTATAAAGTGCAATCAGAAAGGAAACGAAAAAGAATAAGCCTTGGAAATTAAAACATTTACTACAGCAGATTCAATATAACGACCAGGAGATTTAGAGTCCTCTGTCCTCGCAACTGCAATACGGTCCCTTGACATTTTACTAATACTAGCTAACAATAAAGCAGCTACATATACTAATAAATTGCCGCTGCGATGCACTACATATACTTATAAATTGCCGCTGCGATGCAGCAAAAGTGGCGCCAAATACAACACAGAGGCGAAGTTGCACTTCGCATGCACGAGCAAAAATATGACCGACAACGCTACTGGGAAAAACTGAATGAGTAAAACTTTGAGTCTACAAATTTTCTTAATAGACGCACGCCAATTATGAGTCTACATAATTGCTAAGTGACGCAAGCCAATTATGACGCATTAGCAGTACCAGTCAATTTGAAAAGAAATTTACCAACTAACATGCCTCAATTTATAGAGCGGATGCATTTTAACTACTATACGAAAAAGTTCATTAAAAACATGCGACTCTGCTGAGGTTCGAACCCTCTTATTTTGCTACTGGTCTCCTTCTCTACCTCTACGTTACAGAATCATAACACCTTGAAGCTTAAGTGCTATTTGTATTACAATAGTGTGTGTTAATATCCTTAGCATTTGCTGTACTTAATCGCTGGTTAAGGATCTTATGCATATACTGCAATAAAAGAGCACTTTCAAAAAGATCACTAATATTTGCGACTTAGGTTGAAAAAAGTGAGTTCGTAATATCACACAAGCTTTGCTGGTGTAAATAGACCCAATTTTGCTTGTAAAAAGGGGAAAGAATAAAGCCAAATTAAGTAAAAAAACAAATAGATTTTTTCGGTTAATTTAATAAAATTAAAATGCATCAACTGTTGTTAACTTAATAATAATCCAATGGGCTCTTTTTCCTCCCCCCCCCCCCCCCCCCCACCTCAGACCAACATGAGTTTTATGGTCTAACGAGTGGTTTTACAAGGTTAATTATGAAGACCAAATATGTTTGTAATGGACTAATTAGTCTGCATGTCAATTTTCATGACAATTGGACAAGGTGAACAGTAATTTAAAAGATAAAAATTTGCAGGTGGGGGGAAAAGGAAAAAGAGCCATCCAATGTCAAAGCACATGCTATCAAAAATCCGTAATGGTGCCCCCAGGGGCACCAATATTTGCGACTTAGACTGGAAAAAAACGAAAAAGTCGTACTATTACACTACGTTTGCTAAAGCTGGTTAGTGTAAAAATCAACAATATCTACGTTCAATCACACTTTAAGTGAAATGCTTCTGAAATGATTATGAACGCCAAAAACCACAAGAGAAAAGTACTCACGATTTCTCCACAGCCACTTTGAGCGACTGTGTGATTATATCCGAGGCGGAAGTTGTGATGCCCATCTCACAGAGAACCACTGGGATGCCGTTCTCGAGGGACCTGGCGATGGCACGGAAAGAGGTGATGTTGCCACCCACCACAACCACTACCAACGGGATCTGCTTCTTTTCTACACAGCACAATAATTACAATCAGGAAGCAATTCTTAAATAAGTGCCCCTGTAAAAACCAGCGTGTGACCAACTTGTGAGGGAGGGGACCAAACCTGAACAAATTCAGTTATTAAGCCAATCAGTAGAGGCCGCTCGATCGTTTCAAATTTTTTTCTCAGACTTAATTAACTAATATTCTCGCACTAGTGTAATCGATACTTTATTTCTCAGTAAATTTTTTAAAAAATTTGAGGCAATTTTTCTACATCAGGGACTTTTAAAATCTCTTAGGACCCTTCTATCACGGTTGTACAAATATCACAACGAACAAAATTAGGCAAAGAAAAGGTTGTAAAAATTCTGTTGAAGTCAACTTTCAAGATTGAGGGAATTATCGTTTTTCCAACCCACATTTGACGACAAAAAAAAATCTTAATAAACAAGAACGGAGTTCATACGTTAACACTTACCTATGCATAGTGGCCTATTGGATCCCATTTCCATACCGTAAGCTTCAAAAAAATCAATATTTTAAATGCACTGTCTTGGACACTGATAAAATCAATAAAAAAACTTGCAATATTTAATAATACAAATCTTTTTCGGACAAAGCTTGGCTTTAACTTTTCAGCAAGGCTTTTTGCCCTCTTTTTTTCCGTCATTCAATTCATTAGATAATCCCAGAAGGTATTCAACTTCAGCATAATGCATGCAGCCTCTAACCTCTGTGTCTTTGGGCTCCCCTGGATCCTGCATTGCCCCCCATAGCGACATGACCTCTATAATCACTTTTCGAGGGGAGACCCTGTTTGCTCAAAATCTCTTCGATTCCACACCTCACGTCCACTTCAGAATTGGGCTCATTTCTCATGCCATTGTCGACCAGGACGAAAAACGAGTGATTTGGGTTCAAGGGAGTTTGACCCACTTCCGTTTTTTGCCTCACTTTGTACCTGTAAGGCTCCTTGTCTCTCTAAAACAGTCGCTCGAAAAGGTTAAAGGCTAGGGAAAAAGCTACTACGATGACGCAACGCTTCACAATAGCTTTACATAATGACATATCAACTTGCGAGCATGAATGAATAGAAGAGAATAGATAAAGCTCTAAGCTAGCACCGTAAATACAGAGTTCTTACCCTCATCTCTATTTTAAAATTTGCGCCTCTAAAAAAGGGTTTATATAACATAGCTTAAATTTGCATTGGAGAAAAATCAGCGTTTCATTCCTTTTAGTTTTCAGCTATTAAGTTTAGCTCAACGTTTAAAAATAGTGAAACACATAAATTTATATTTTTGCACTTTTTCCACTGAAATTAGCGGACAAACATTGAACGATGAAGATCCTCGTGCAAATAGCAAATTATTTTACGAGCAGCGCTTTCCCTTTCCTAAACAACATCAAGAAAGACAAAGCAAGAAGATTTAGCCTTATTGAAGATAAAAATAAATTTAAGGTAGAGAACATATATATGTTCAGAGAAAAATATATGTTCATTTAGGGAGAGGGCACCCCCTCCTGGTAGGAGTTTGACACCCTCCCCGCCCAGGGCTGGTCAAAATATGTTTTTTTTTAAAAAAAACGTTTAAAACTGTTTTAAACGTTTTAAACAGTTTAAAACATGTTTTTTTTGCAAGAATTTATTTTTTCAAGCAACGCATACAAAATGCTAGTTTCTCAGTTTTCTCTGAGGAAAGGCTGTTCCTGAGGTCCCCTTCCACATACCCCTTGATAGCTTGTTGAAAGAACTGCACTGTACGTGTTAATTTGGATGAATCAAGTAACAGCTGCCAGTTAAATTGCGTAATAATTGCGCCCTCGCAGTCGAAACATGAAACACTGTTTAAAACACTAAAATTGAGTCATGTTTTAAACAGTGTTTAAAACAGTTTTAAACACTGTTTAAAACAACCCCTGTTTTTTATTGACCAGCCCTGTCCCCGCCAAAAAGATCCCTCGACCTTTAGCACAACTTAAATGCATTTTTTCGGGATGCTTTTGGTGTCAATATTTGCATGTTTTCAAGGGGGAGCTCGCCCAGACAAAAACACGATTTTTATGTTCAAACTCTTTGATTTTGTACAAATTTTTTTTTCAAAAATTTTGCTGTACGGCAGTTCTTTCAGGAAAACTCAACAATTTTTAAGTCTATTTGCAAAGTTTTCAGAAATGTTTTGAATAAACTTCTCATCTAAACTCGAGAAAATCATGGATCCGTACTCTGAAATCGGTCATTTTTTAATCGGTCATTAATCTAAATAACTGGACAACCTTAATTGTTATCAGTTAGGAGCCAATACTTTTTGGACTGAGAACATGTATTTAGAAATAGATAACCAATAGAACTCAATTACAACAGTGATTTTACCAGGTGAAGGTAGATTTACGAGCAAATCCGTTTAACACTGCATATGAAAAGTGAAGAGTACCATTTATGTTAGGTAGATAGATTCTATCAAAATGGAACAACTCTTATTTGAGCCGTCCGATCGCTAATTTTGGCAAGAAAATAGAAACAAATCAACCCTTTGAACACTCCTAGATTCAACTTAGCCCATAGACCGACAGGCTTATGAGCAGAAAAAAGATTCCAAGTCATTTCAGCATGAAATAGAGAATCTTCAAGTTAACATACTACTTATATTCAGACAACCGGTACACAAGCTGAATTTTTTCACTGTGAACATGGGGCGCATTTTAAAATATCTTGAAGATTTAAGACTGCAACTTTACATTTTTGAGCTTAGTCAGGTCCATGAACAAAGTCTAATTTTGTTAAAATTGTCAGGATGCTGCAATTTTATGCTAAGTAATGTAAACGTATGTTTCAGACGTCTTTTGAAATTTTTGTGCAGAGTACTTTTTGTTCTGAGTCTGCTCCCTAGCCCCTCGAAGTTTGCTCTCCCCTACCATTGATTCATGTACTAACTTCTATATTGGAAACCTTGTTTGTTGCCTTCAACTTTTGGGACGAGAGCAAGAGCTTTTTGAGACATTCTTTTGATATTCTGGCCTGGTGAAAGTAGCTCAAACAATCGCTACGAAGTAGAAATAATATGAAACTGCTAAGCCTGACTTATAAATGGCTCAGCTATTTTGAACAATTCGGTTTTCCAATTTTGCAAATCCTCCTTTTGTCTGCAACTAAAGCCAACATTGCATTCAGATTCAGGAAAACTAAAATTTGAAAAACATTCAAATGTACCATGGTAGTTGAAGTTATTCAACAATATCCACTGAATTCTGAATGCATTCAAAAACCAAAACAGTTTCACGCTTCAGGCACGCTTGAAAAATTGGCGCTAGAGATCCACTTCTAATCATTTTTTCTCGTGTTTTTCTACTCCTTTTCACTCAATCGATTATACTTTGTTCGCTTCGGGGAACTGAGTGATAGATGGAGTCTGGACCAGTCTTAAACTGAAAACCAAAAGATACCCAGACAAAAATTGAGAAAAAGTCTAGTACCAGATTGCAACAAGAACACCCTGTATAATCGCAAGGCAAAGATAAACAAGTTAAATGAAAGTTACCTAAGATTTTTCTTCAATAAAATGTTTTTTATAATTCAAGAAAAAGCGTAGTAAACACTTTTGCACTAGCTATTTTTACTTTTAATGCACATTATCCCATTAAACTCGTAAATTGATTCAACAGATACCACCCCAACTTTACACAGCCGTTTATTGTTAATGCCGTATCAACGAAACGCCATAAGCCAACATCCTGCACATGAAAAATCTCCTGAAATTTTTCATCACATCCAAGAGCGGTTTTAAGGGAAACGCTATTTTACGACATCCATTTTTGGGCAACCAACCGTAAAATTTCCTTTAAGGCGCCTTTGGTATCAATATTTATTAAATTTGACCGGGAGTACACGCCGAAAAAAAACGTGATATTTTGGACGAAAAGTTCCAAATGGGGACATTTAAAAAACATCGCTTGCTGCGCAGAAAATTTTGACTAAATATGGTCGTAATTGTGTTTCAAAAAAGCTCGAAAAATCAGCTTTGTCGATCTAAAAAAAAATGGTTAACTTTTAAAAATCCAACTCCCCCAAACCTCGAGAAAATCTAGATCCGCCTTTGACGACACCTGATGATCATAAAGAGGACAAAAACTAAGGGGTGTATAAATTGGCTCATTTACATAAAAAGTCGTTAAAATTCAAACGGCAATGCTGAATAAATTAGCAAGTATTTCCCATTAACTTTACGATAAGAGACAACACAGGTTCTCTCGAATAGGTTCTTTCAAGGGCTTCACTTCGACATAAAGCACTTAAGTGCTCGTTCCTGTTTTTTTTTTCGACATGGTCTGGGTATTCAAAAAAAAATTGTTTTTATCACAAAAGCCATTTTAAATTTTATTTAATGGTGCCCGCTCCCACCTGCAATTTTTACACGTTAAATGCGTGTTCAAATCGTCCAGTTCTTCTAAGATACAACCAACAGATGGTCGGAAGAATATGAAAAAACTTAGAAGTAAAAAAAAAACATGATAAAACAATTTTCACCTTTCGAATTTTGATAATAAATATTACATTTAAGCTCTTGGAAATTCAAGAATTGTCTTTGATTGGCATTTTTTCTTCAAGATATCCCAATTAGAGAAAACTGGATCAATAGGTATTTTTTCAACAAAGGAAATGAACTGAACGTAAAAGTAAATCAAATGTCAAGACACAAGAAATCAACTTTGAGCGTGAACAAATTGTTTTTGAAACGAAAGAGAAAATCATAACGACAATCGCTTTTTGCTTCTGCTCTTAGAGATTGGCATGCGGACTAATTAGGCTATGATACACATATATGGTCTTCATATTTAATCTTGTGTAACCACTCGTGCTTGATGCTCATGCTTGGGGATACGAAAGAGCCTCTTCAGTTTTGAGAATTGACATCCTCAGTGTCAAATATTCCTTATTTTTATTTGCTATTGGCTTTCACAGCATATATATCCACAACCTTTGTAAGCTTTGAAGATTCAAGATTTTCTAGCAGAACTCAAAACATGGCCAACAGACAGCTGTAAAAGAGCCGATGAGCAAGAAATCCAAAAAAAACTCAGATTTTTTAAATCAAATTTCGAGTTTTGAAAAATATCCGAAAACAATGATCCCAAAACAAAAAAAAAGAAATACAAATGTCAAAAAAAATCCAGCAAATCTTCAATATGTAACTTTTTTGGCACAGAAGCGAAGTTTTGATATGTAAACTTGCTTTTTGTCGAACGTGCCACGGGCTCTTGTGGCGCTGAGTGCGCCATTGAACCTCTGACCAGTAAAATAGAAACTTCAAGCCCTTCTACCTATAACACTGTCGTTTGACTATCGTTAAACACTAGCCACCAATAACGCAGAGAATACATGCTACCAAATTTCTAATGCTATGGATCGCGATTATATCGAAAGTGCCACAGAAAAAGTATTTTACTTGCGACTTCGATTGAAAAAGTAGTTTCTCACTAATACACTACGCTCATACTAGCTTATACACTACGCTAATAGACTAGCTCGATGGTGTATTGAAAATCATCCAAAATGAGAAACATGGATAAGTCGGTATAATCCGCTCTTTTTGGATCAGTCGGTAGAATTAAAAACCAATTTAGAAAGTAATTTATTCACGTTGTTCGCGCTATTTGAACTTTCTTTCCAAAGAGCGCAGTTTTTCTTCTAATTAGTAAATGACATTTGTTGGTTGGAGAGTAGTAAATGAATGCAAGGAACAAAAAACGGAAGTTTTTTTAAAAAACTTCAAATTTCAACTAACAAGTATATGGCCTCTAGGCTCTTTGAAATTCCAGAAAAAGGTTATAATTGACACTTTTCTGCTACAGCTAATTCAGTTTGAGGAAAATGGATCAATGGGTAGTTTTTATTCCGCAACGAAATCTGAAAATTGAAAGCCAATTTCGAAACTACATGTCGATCATGTTTTTGTTGTGACCTATACACTTTTGCTCTTCGATAGTGGAGTTGGCCTTCCTGTAAACAAAGGTGCTGAGCTTAAATATAATCAAAAATCACAATTTTGAGTGTGAACAACTTTTTCCTGAGTCCCCCCCCCCCCCCCCCCCCTCCCCCTGTTCAGACCAATTGAGCTATCACCCCCCTCCCCAAGAAAAAAATGGGAACACATTATAAAAGACGTTTTTGGGCAATCATTGCTTCGAGTTGAACAAGTTTACAGACCTCAATTTATGCCAAAGAAAACCTACAGCATCCTAAAGTATACATTTGCACTTTTCTTCAAACTAAACAGGAAAATGCGGGTTTAATATGCGACTAATTTGACCATTTTTTCACTCTGAATCTAGTTATTAGTTTTCATAACGTAATTTTTAGCGCTCCGCATTTGCTGAAGAATATGGCGTTTAGTTTTTTACAATTAAAGGTAGTTCAACTGGTTATAAACATGTCTCAAGGGCTCTTTTCCAGTTCCCCCCTTCAAATACAAATTTTGAAAGCTTATTTAACGTTGTCATAATGCAATGAAATTTGGCGTGGTGAACAAATCGACAACTCTGAACAGATTTGTTCTTCATACTTTAAAGCGTAACATCACGCATTTAGCCGTAATAACACATAAAACAGACATAAAACTCGGTATTTTGAAAGGGGGGAACTGGAAAAGAGCTGTCTCAAGTACCTATGGAGCTAACTCCCCCCCCCCCCCCTCCCCAGGCCGAAATAAAGGGGGAGGGGGGACATTTGGTCAATTGATCCGAAGTATATTCACTAAGTCCATTGACACTCAATACAAAGCTTCTTTTTTTGGGAGCAATTTGGATACTTTTCAACTTCATTTGACAAAATTGCTGTCAAAAATAAACAAAATCAAAAATTTTGCAGCACATGCTATAGTGTGATCTGACACAATCATTCAAGTCAAAATGATTTAATTTTTGGATATCTGACACTTCGACAATTGGTCATGCCACCCTCGAAATTAGGACCTTTAATTAGTACCTACGATGAATTTTGGGTTAAAAACGAGCTTCTGAGTAATATTGTTGCCATAAATGAAAAAAGTTCATGAATAAGTTAAAACGTCAGAGTGCATTATGCATTGTATTCTTTAATGCTGGTAGTTCTTTGTATGCGAAGTTATTTAAAACAGCTACAGGAAGTAATAACGGCAAAGCTAATCTTCTGGTATTGTTATAACACGATCAATCAATCAACTTTTGACAAGTCTTCCACAGCGTATTTGATTATGAACTTCAAATATATTCCCGTTAATCTAGATTAAGAAAAGACTAGATTAGATTTAGATTAAGAAAAGACGCCACTACGCTCAGAACTTCATTTTGAACTGTTGCCAACATTGGAAATTTTTTGGATGAAAAGAAATTTTTAATAACGATTTTTGGTTTTTCAATGTTCTATATGTTTTTCAGTATTTCTTAAATTAATTCAGACCATCTTCATTCAATTTTCAATTTTCTTTAAATAAATTGAGACCATCATAGAAAAAAGAGCAACAGTTCGTGGTTGACTTTAAAGTAAATGATTGTGCACAAGCCCACTGATGAGACCAGATTAAAATGCTACGCGACAACTAAAGATAAGATAGATTGATTCAACTTACTTCCTCGTAGCGAGGACCTTTATGGTGATCCTGTTCAAAATAACACAACACACTCCATGAAACATTCGCCAAACTAATTCAAAAAGGTAAACTTCAGCTCAAACTAAACTAAAGCGGAAATCAATGGTAATTATTGTCACTTTTTTCCATTTTCTAAAGCAAATTTTCAAACTTGTAAACAGTAGATGTCAAACAATTTTATCAAAATAAAAAAATTAGTTTTAGTTAAACCAAAAAAAAACGAAGTTATAGCCGTTTTTAAAACTTTTAGCAACTTAATAAAAAGCTTACCGATTTGAGCCAATTAGCCATAGCCTGATGATTATCAATAGTTCCCCAGGTGTTAATTCCGATACACTTCACACTTGAATGCTGTTCCCCCACCCACTCCCTGTACTCAGCCTGCCTGACCGCCTCCCCTACCACTTTGGTCAACCCCACGTGAGTTCCGCCAGTTATGATCCAGGAGTCCGTAGTGGACACCGCTTTCACAAGGCCCTCTCGGATACGTTCACGCTGGAACGGAGTCAGTCGGGACGCCTCGTGTCCGGCCAACACGGAGACGATGAGGTTCGGGCGCCCCGCTTCTTCGAGCGACCACTGATTGGCCATGAATGACAACACGCCATTCGGCGCAGCGTCGTGAGCTACAGTCACAAACTCGCATTCTTTCGAATCGCCTTCGAGTTCGTTGACGAACCGCAGTTTTCCGTGAGTCACCAACTGATGCTTCTTCATGTGGATGTCTCGGTTCCACAGAGACCCAGGAGGCAGTTTTTGAAGACCTTCTTTAAAATGCTCCGAGAACTTATAACCGCATCCGACACAACAGCTAAAAACACGAAACTATTTATTGATGGCAGAATCAAAATTTAAATTCGTCATTTCAAATATCTAAATATTTTTTCAATTTTCATGACAAGCTTGGTTTTCATCGCAAAGCAAACAAATATTCAAGTCGAAACATTTATTTCTCATACCTTTCGTCTGGAAAGTCTGGAAGTCCAGAGTAGCTTTAAATTTGACCAAGTTCAAATATCAATCTGTCAATACATTATAAGTGAAATGCCCATCAACTTTGTTTAAAAAATTAGCATCCCAGGTGTTCAATTTCAGCACACTGTCACCGACAGTCCGTTATTATCTTTGACAGCTAATAATAATTGAAAAAAATAATAATACAAAATCAACATCGAATTCCGGGGAAAATAATTTACCTCACGATAAAACGCTGCATAGCTTTCTCAATTAAAGAATCAGCAAAAGATTACAAAAAACAGAAAATTAGAAAAATCATAAATTTCTCGCAGTTGTCTCATAGATTCGTACCAAACATCACAGATTCATCGCGAGAAAGTCTCATATTGAAAAATGATCAAACCTAGCCAATCGAAGATTGGAAAACAGTTATGAACGCAAGTAAACATAGAAAAAACACTCTACTTTCGAACTTCAAAGAAAAAAATAGATGCCATTTGAGCTCTTTCAATTCCTAGAACAATTCATGATTGGCGCTTTTTTAATAACCTAAACCCAACTAGAGAAAACTGGATCAATACGTTAAGTTTTTATTCCGCTGAAATCTAAAAATTAAATTCCATTTTCGAAACTAGAAATCATTCACGTTTTTTTTTCGCGCCATTTCCACGTTCGTATTTGGAGAGTGCTATTTACGTCACTTTCAGCAGATGAATTTCAATTGAACTCAAAAAGGGCATATATACCTAAAGGCATTCATAAACGCATCGATATGTATGAAAAACAATGTTCGTGAAAAAAAATCAGCAAGACCTATATAATAATCTTCACTATTTTCATTATTCTAAAACAGCGTCAACTGATGAAAAAATTTTTACAATCAATGAGCGTTAAAAGTAACGTCACTCAAGTGCGACTTACATTGAATCTTCGTCAACAGGCGTTCTCTGTGTTGTCGGCGATGTCACAGCGGCGGATCCGGAACCACCGCTTGCGTCTCCGGCTCCACCCGCGTCATCCTCTTTGGCCTTGAAATTTGCGCATCTGTCCTTAAGGAAAATCTGGTCGTGATCAAATCTCGAATGACCCCTCATTGCAGAAGCCACTTCGGAAATACTATGATGGCTCTTCCTTCGATCTAAACGTCCTTTGAATTTACGGACTGCTGTAGCGGCTTTAACGTTCCAAGAAGCCATAACTTTCCGTTAAATTTGAAGCAACAACTCAATTGCAATAATTTCAATAAATCGAACAAAATTGAGAATTCAAATCCAAATTCATTTGAAAAACTGCAAACACAATACTAAAAAAAAACTTTTCTGGGGAAGATCTTCAAAGTTGATCGCTTTGAAATTGCTGCTTTTTAAGTGATTTAAAGCTACAATTGTCACCCCATATGGCGTAAAAAGGACAATAAGTGTAAGGTAAGAATAATGCAGTAGCCTCAAAAACGGAACTAGAGTTCCCTGAAAAACATCTTGCCTATATGAACAGTAATTGCAAATCTATCTCAATTTTAATATTTGTGGCTCCGCTTTAATGCGTTCCCATAATAACGAACCGGAGGAAAAGAACTTTGATATCCGCTTCTATCATACCAACTGTTAGATAGTTGTTTATGCTGACTTTAAAAGCTAACACCCAGAATTTAAAAAAGATATGACAAAAGATAAGCACTATTTCAAATCCGCTTCAGGTGGCAAGACTAAAATTTACATATTGAATTTCAAATTTTATCGCTAACAATTCAACTTCTACCACACAATAAAACTAGTACAAAGTTTCTTTGAACAATTCCTCGGAAAAAATCGACAGATGCAAAAAGACGGTGGATTTCAACAATTTTCAATTCTCCAAAACAGTTTAAATTTGAATACGTGACTGAATAAAGAAAAAGATTGCCGCTTGATCTTCTTAGATAGCATTGGTTGACCTGGAAATGCGGTTTCAAGGTAATCCAAAAAGATCGAGTGGATTTATTGAGCAACTGACAAGGAAAATTGCTTCCAGATCAAATTTCGAAGTTATCAGAACAAATTTCATCACATTCAATCTTTTTGAATTTACAAATTAAGATAAAAGTATTTTAATAATTCAACTTGTTTTGACACAATGATGATATGCAGAGCTCCGTATTACTTGCGGTAAAAAAAACTAGAAGTCAACTTTCAAACAAAAACTATCAGCAAAACCGGAATTGTTCAAAAAAAATTCCACTAAAAAAGCCTGCTACCCTACTCAGTCGATTTCAAGACCAACTTAAACTATCTAAATCAGCAGCTCTTGTAATCTGGAAACAATGCAAACAGAGAAAAAAGAAAATCTGCTTGCGCCGGAGATGCACCGAATGCGCATTACTAATGCTATTATGCTGCTACGAGACAACTTAAAGGAAATGGATTTGATTTTATCTCCTACACGAGAGATCCATCAAAACATTGCATGGTGAATAAACATTGCATTGTCGCAGAATTTTTTCTATGAAATAATCAATCTCAGAACATTTCATAATTCAGCACTACGGACTTATCAACCTTTCAAAATTCATCAATTTTTAAATGAAGCTGTAATTGTGCTACCAGATACTGCATTAATATCTCAAAAAATGAGAAATTTCCAAGTTTCGAGAAAATTTGTACACTTTGATAACTTTTAAGAAGCTAAAAAATTTTAGGTTTTTTGTCTATGAAGAAAGCAAATCTTATTAAAAAGGGCAACAACTTTTAAAAAGTAAAATTAATCTGGATTAAAACACGACTCACAAACTGCAGACTTAACAAGGATAGCCGGTTACTGTGTAAGTAGCACAGAATGTTCCGAACATATCCTTAAAAAATACAAACAGTTTTTTTTCATGTTTTTCTTTTATATGAGTGTTTTTTTTCTAGTCTATGGAGCAGTAATAACAAAAAATTAAATAAAACAAAAAAATTGATTTTTTTTTTCATTTGAGATATTTTGTGAAAATCAATTCCTCGCACGCCATACCAAGTAAAAAGAGATAAATTTCGCTCTTAGCAACAAATCAATTATGGCAAATAAGCTTCCTTCAACCAATTTGGTACGAGTTCTATGACGGATTAAATCTCCGCTTGCGCATTATTAGCGCGAAATATATCGCGCGTTAATTGTCCCAAATTGGCCCCAAAAACGTCACAAAAAATAATCACAGGTGAAACATCTTTTCAAATTTAAGCTCAGGACAACAACACTTCTTGAATGATATAAAAAAAAATCCCGTCGAAAATGGCCAGTTGAGTCGAAATTTGTCTGAAAAAAAGCACCCCGATCACAAATCTTCCATTACTTTCGTTAGAATGTCGGAACAATAATAGTCTGTGTGAAAATCCTTAGCATTGGCTGCACTTAATAGCTGGTTATAGATCAAAAGGAACACTTTCAAAATGAACACAATTTATCGCAACAATATTTGTGACTTATAGCATGAACTATCTTTTTTTCCAGCCTAACACAAGAATCGCTTTTGTAAAAAAAACCGCAAAAAAACTATCGTTGACGAAATAATCAGGTCAAAATTTGAAAACAAGGTTTTCCGGAAATACATTTTAGACTAATTTAGAAAAAAAATTAATAATTGGACAATACGATGTGCCATCACATTAATGGATATGAATGAAGCGAAAAAGCTGAAAATGAAACTTGGATACTAAGTTGTGTTCAGCTAACAGCGCACACTGTCAGAAAAAAATCAGAAACCATGCCTTCGAAAGAAAAAAACTGAAATAAATTTAAAAAATCACACGAAAAATCGCTTCAAAGATTTTTCTGTTCAAATTGAAAGTTTCTGCGTGTATTAGAAAAAACGCATTACAAAAAGATGGACAAAAAGGTTTGCGCGTGTTAAGTTCTAAGAAATGATTTTACCAATTAATCGAATAGCAGTTTCTGAAAAAAAAATTAGCCGACAAAATCCAGATCAAATTTCGAAGTTATTAGAACAAAATTCATCACATTCAATCTTTTTGATTTTGAAATTAAGATAAAAGTATTGTGATAATTCAACTTATTTTGACACAATGATGATATGCAGAGCTCCGTATTACTTGCGGTAAAAAAACTAGAAGTCAATTTTCAAAACTACCACCAAAACCGGAATTGTTTAAAAAAATTCCACTGAGAAAGCCTGCTACCCTACTCAGTCTATTTCAAGACCAACTTAAACTATCTAAATCAGCAGCCCTTGTAATCAGGAAACTATATATGCAAACAGAGAAAAAAGAAAATCTGCTTGCGCCGGAGATGCACCGAATGCGCATTACTAATGCTATTATGCTGCTACGAGACAAATAAAAGGAAATGGATTTGATTTTATCTCCTGCACGAGAGATCCATCAAAACATTGCATGGTGAAGAAACATTGCATTGTCACAGAATTTTTTCTATGAAATAATCAATCTCAGAACATTTCATAATTCAGCACTACGGACTTATCAACCTTTCAAAATTCATCAATTTTTAAATGAAGCTGTAATTGTGCTACCAGATACTGCATTAATATCTCAAAAAATGAGAAATTTCCAAGTTTCGAGAAAATTTGTACACTTTGATAACTTTTAAGAAGCTAAAAAATTTTAGGTTTTTTGTCTATGAAGAAAGCAAATCTTATTAAAAAGGGCAACAACTTTTAAAAAGTAAAATTAATCTGGATTAAAACACGACTCAAAAACTGCAGACTTAACAAGGATAGCCGGTTACTGTGCAAGTAGCACAGAATGTTCCGACCATATCCTTAAAAAAAACAGTTTTTTTTCATGTTTTTCTTTCATATTAGTGTTTTTTCTAGTCTATGGAGCAGTAATAACAAAAAATTAAATGTAACAAAAAAAAATTGGTTTTTTTTTTCATTTGAGATATTTTGTGAAAATCAATTCCTCGCACGCCATACCAAGTAAAAAGAGATAAATTTCGCTCTTAGTAACAAATCAATCATGGCAAATAAGCTTTCTTCAACCAATTTGGTACGAGTTCTATGACGGATTAAATCTCCGCATACGCATTAATAGCGCGAAATATATCGCGCGTTAATTGTCCCAAATTGGCCCCAAAAACTTCACAAAAAATAATCACAGGTGAAACATCTTTCCAAATTTAAGCTCAGGACAACAACACTTCTTGAATGATATAAACAAAAATCCCGTCGAAAATGGCCAGTTAAGTCGAAATTTGTCTGAAAAAAAAGCACCCCGATCACAAATCTTCCATTACTTTCGTTAGAATGTCGAAACAATAATAGTCTGTGTGAAACTCCTTAGCATTGGCTGCACTTAATAGCTGGTTATAGATCAAAAGGAACACTTTCAAAATTACTTCAAAGCTTCAAAAATCGCTTCAAAGGTTTTTCTGTTCAAACTGAAAGTTTCTGCGTGTATTAGAAAAAACGCATTACAAAAAGAGTGGACAAAAGCGTTTGGGCGTGTTACGTTCTTAGAAATGATTTTACCAATTAATCGAATAGCAGTTTCTGAAAGAAAAAAAATTAGCCGACAAAATTGGGCCGAAATCAATTAGGCAGGCCTACAAAATAAATCTCATCATTTTTTAATCAGTAGATACAGTAACGCATTGACTCTAGATACAGTGACAAGAAATGTTAAATTTGCCAAGTGCCGGAAATAGAGCGCTTGAAGTCGGAGATCCTGAGCACAAAGTTATTTACGGGAAAAAATCTGGTATCCGATTGTAATAGGTGAAGTGATTCAAAATTTTTGTAGGTCTCGATAAAAGACAAGTATGGACCCAGCTAAAGCTGGAGGTACGTGTTTGATACTGAATGAATTTGCTATACTGATGCGGCACGAAAATTGTTATTTCAAAAATTGGATTTTGCCTATAACCTTAGTTGTTTCTCTAAAATAAGTGAAAAGAGTCAGAAATTTTGAGATAATCAACTTTCCCAAGGTGATAACAAATCTCTTACAAAAAATTAAGGAGTCGCCGCTTCTGCAGGAACAATTCTTGCAACCCGTTCTTTCAATGTAACTTTTTATCTCAGATTTGAGGGTGTAAAATTGAAGAAAACCCGTTCTTTCAATGACACTGTCTATCTCAGAATTGATAGTGTAAAATTGTAGAACAGATTTGATAATTAAAAATTGAAGAATAAGTCGAAAGCTCTAAAAAAAACGTTCAAAAGACTGTCCAAAACACATGTTTTTCTGCAAAAAAGAAGGTTATCACCACTTAAGCCGAGAAGACTTCCAATCTGAGAATCGGTAGGGTAGTTTTCGCGTATATTCAATAAGTTTCCAAAAAACTGTCAAAATTTCAAAATTTTGACTTGTTCGACGGCCATAACTTTTTTCTTAACCCCGCATAGAAAAGCTAAAAACTTTAAAACAACTTGAAATTTGAATTTTAAGAGGTCGAAAACTTCTTGCGTAAAAATTTTTGTGATTTGTCCGCTAATTCAGAGGAGCTTCCAATTACCTATAATGTCATTGAACCCAGAATATCAGATTTGGGAGGTTAGTTTCCGAGAAAAAATCAAAAACATACATAAAACGGTCAAAAATCAAAAACTTGACAATTTCCGAGGACCATAAATTTATGTGACAAAAAAAGTTGTAGCCACGTATGCAGAGAAGCTTTTCAAACCAGTTCTATGATTTGTGATGGTAGTTCTCGAAAAAAGTCAAAAACTTTTTAAAAATTGAAAAAAAATTACTTCTCCGAGGACCGTAACTTTTGGTATCACAAAAATTTCCACCAAAATCTCAGGTATGCCAAGATAGTTTTCGAGAATATTAATAAGATGGCGAAAAGATCGAAAATTTGATTTTTCAGAGGGCGATAACTTCTTGCGCAAAACTTTTTGTTGATGTCTGCTAATGTAGAGGAGCTTCCAACTACCCATAACCTCATTGAACCCACAATATCCGATTTGAGAGGTTAATTTCCGAGAAAAGTCCAAAAAGATCAAAAATTTGACTAATCCGAGGGCCATAAATTTATGTGACAAAAAAATTGATTGTAGCCACTAATGCGAGGGAGGTTTTCAAAACAGTTCTATTCATTGAAACCAGAAACTTATATTTGAGGGTACTTTTTGAGAAAACGAAAAAAAATTTAAAAAATGTGTCAAATATTCCCCAACCCTTTTTCGAGGGTTCAAGTAAAAAAACTACAGGAGAGTATGCAGGCACGCAGAGGAGTAAGCGGTCTTTCAATTGATAACCCTTTTTTTGAAAACCAGAATAAGTTTCTGAGAAAAAGTGAAATTTTTGCAAAAAATGATATTTTCCATAACGAAAAAAAATGAAATTTCAACAAACCGATTGGTAAACATACAATTGAATTGAGAAGTGTGGATGGGAGTCTTATAATTGTGTTCATCTTGGATTAGCCCAAAATTAGGTCGTTAAGCAGATGAAAAATAGGCTTAAATAAATTTGCCGAGAAAGTTTTTTTGGCGAATTTGTTTAGGAAATACGAAGTCAAGATAAATAAAATTGCAAAATGAAGGCGTAAATCAAACACTAAAAACATTATTAAAGAAAAATGCGGGCAAAAAAATTCCAAGTCGCCTACTTAAGTCACATATGAGGTTAAAGAAAAATAGGCCCTATAACCATTGGCTCAAGAGTCAGGGACACTATCTCTTGTGTTTTTCTACCTCGAACGGTCGGAGCCAATTCGGTTCACTTACGACATGAGACTAAAACCCTCGTTACAGCTTAAAGGCCACTACCAAAATACCCCCCCACTCTAGAAAATAAGAACGTCCCCATACTTAGGTCTCAAAATACCCAAAATACGCGAACGCCGTTAAAAACAGGGTCGCAACATCCGTACAGTTACTTTTTATTAGACAGTGGAACTTTGATCCATTTCAGATGGATCAACCTAAAACTCTCCGTACCTCAACATAACAATTATAAAACACACTCAAGAAAACTAAATTGGGTACTCACATACCAGCACACTCGAGAATTGGAGTAACTAAATTAACTAGCGACTAGCATAAATGTAATAACTTGAGAAGTTTGCTATTATTAAATTCCAATAAGGGAAATGAGTTTTCACTTGAGAACTAAAGTTTTTGGTTGGACCATTGGGAGACTTCGGTTGTCCACCTTTCCACCGAAGGTTCACTCTGGTCCACTTCGAATAAATGTATTCTTCTTTCGCAATCGTTCTGTTTCCTATTTCAGGATAGGACAGCTCTACTCTCGTGTGATTTATATCTGGAAATTGCGAATAGCAATTTCCCGCTGCTTTTTAACTACTTTCCCGCGATTGTAACTCGGTGGTTCTGATTTTTCATTTCTGAGATTTTCAGTTGTCGCGAGAAAGTTGAGCATGACAGGCTCAATTCGAATTTTTGAAAAATTACATTTCACCCCAAAATTACGTTTTTCGTATTTCTCAAGGTCAAACTTCCAAATATGACCGACTGGCACATAATTTTATTTGAAACAGAAAATTTCCCGTTTGAAAAAATACAGGTCCTGGTCAAATTCAAACCCAGGACCTTTGCCATGCCAGGCATATTCGTTACCTTCAGGCTAAGTCGAGAACGCTAAGAAAATTAAATACATTATGAAACAAAGTAGAGATGAGTCCAGACGAGTCCTGTGGACAAAGTTTTTACGGGAAAAAGTCTAGTACACGGGTTGCAATACCCTTGCTTATCGCAAGGGTAATATATCATTCAATCCATTATGATTATTATTTTTAGCAACTGATCTTATCGAAAAATGACTGAAAATTTAAAACTTTGTTCGAATCACGACTGAAATTGCTTTAAAATGATACATAACTCAACACATTTTGGTGATTATTTGTTAAACCTGATTTTGCGTGATCAGAACAATACATGCGGAATAAGCTTTACTTTTAGCGAATGAATTCGAATGTAACTTGAAAAGCAATCAAAGTCACACCACGAAAAATTAAACTTGAAGGTGAATAACGAAAAAAAAACTGAAAGCCACTCGATCAAAACAAGTCTCTTCACTACGTTGATTAATACTTAGCAAAACTATATCGGGTATCAAACAAAGGCAAGATATGATCCGTTTATTTATCTAAACTAATTCTTTAGAAATGAGTAAAAATTCGATCGATCTTAATGAATAAAGAAGGAAGTTAGATGATTCCGAAAATTTGAAACACGAATGAGACCGTGTGTCCAACATTTTCATTCTCTTGAAAATCACGGACAACTGCTAAAAATTGCTCAAAAATTTGACAACCAATGCTCATACAGGCCAAGCTTGAAAGGTAACTTATGCAACTATTTTCCTCAGGTCAACTATTTCACACTAAAATGACTCACCAAGATTGAAGGGCAGTAGGGCACACTAAATCTGTTTGCTGATCAGTATTTAATTCAACACTTTATGAAACATTAATTCTGAAAAAAAGAATATTCATCAACTTGATATTAACTTGATATTGAATATCTTTTTTTAGTAAAAGCGGAAAACAGCTTCATAACATTTCTTCTACAGAAAAAATAGAAACAGAAAATCTGGCTGTTTTGCAAGTGGTAGTAGCTTCCGACCAAAACAAAAAGACGAAAAATTTTTTTAAACACTGTTTTCATTTTAGGCGGGCTGCTTTAGTTAATCGTAACTTGAAACGCTTAAATGTGTTCTTAAATAAGTAAAACAATTTTTTGGGCTCTTACATTTCTCAGTATTATCATAATGCGGCTAACTGACGGATAAGAGCTGTGGCTTGAGCCTACAACCAGAAGTGTTACCACATTCTACCAAGCAGATCATTTTGCCACGATTGATTGTGCCATTCTGCCAGATGACACAGCATAACCTTCCCGCGACAGAAAAAAAAGTGACTAAAGGCCATATGAACAAAAAAGTGTTGCGACGGAGGGTCAGAATGTTCTAGAATTTTTATTTTTAAAATTTCGATTGGAAGAAGAACATTTCTGAGAAATAGAAAAAAGACGGCCATTTTGAATAAAAAAAGACGAAAATCAGAACCACGATATAGATTGTGAAGAACAGTTGTATCAGAGACAGAAAAACACGGAGCCTCTTATCGTGGCAAGAACACACGATAAGGACCTTAGCGACAGATATTTGTGGAGACGGAGGCTTCAGTGGGGGGAAGAGAAATACCACGGAACCCTCCCGGGACACGAAATATAGGAGATAAGAGTGTTATCTCAAGAAAATCACGGGAGCGGAGGCTTGGTCCCCCAGAGACTGTTATATGTGAAGGGACTGTGAAAACTGACTATAACAGCTGCTGTAATGTCCTAGATCTTAATTAACACCGTTATTATTTAATATTTCAGAGCATGAGTAGATAGAAAAGGGAAAGGGTCAATCCATCTCCAATGGATTTAATATAAAACTGTCACACAAAAACATAATAAAATAGGTTGTTCGAGCCGTGTTTTTAATGACAATCACGTAGTCTGAGGATCCGAGACTCAGCTATGTGGTTGTGTTCGCATGCAAACGAAAGCTGATCAAAAGTCGTTTGACTGATGGCCTAAAAATGGTAACTTTTTACTTTGCCCTAAACAGACCAGAAAATCAACTGGCAAGGTCGAGACGGTGAAAAACGAGTGGAATTAAGGTAACTGACGCCTGCCAGTCGTTGATAGGTACTTTTTCTACGCTCCGTCGCTGTGTGATATTTGGGCGAATGTTACATAGACGTTTTTATGGCGCTCCTGGGTGGGCCTGTTAAAGGCATGAAACCATCATGATCAGCAAGCGTTTCAGCGACGTACCCTCCGCTCCGGGCGTAAGCCCGAGTTAGAGGCCTTAATGACCGTTGTTGTACTAGGGGGAAGGTGCGTACCCTCCGTCTAGTGCAATTTAGCTTTTTAACTTAGTTGACACCGAAAATTCCGGGGGCCGGAGGGTTAGGTGGGAAATCTAGAGCCCGCTTGTCCTGAGGTCCCAGGACCAAAAACAATTAAAGAGAAAGCGTAAAACCAAACAAAAATAGTGTATAACCAAGAAAAAGCCAAAAATAAATTTATTTAAAAACAAAAAAGTACAAAAAACAGTAAAAAAATCCAAAAAAGACCAAAAACAGTAAAAAACATAAAGTGACAGTTTATATGTTATTTCCGGACGAGATGTGATCTGACCTTCCTATTTGTTGTTGTTTCAGATTGATTTATATCGTTTCTGATAGAGAGATTGTGTGTTTTGGTGAAGGGTTGGGTACCCTCCCTCGAGTGTAATTTGAGTGTTTAAGCACGTTAATGGTGATTTTGCCGGTGACCGGAGGGTAGAGTGGCAGGCTGATCAACGTGTTCCACACTCAACAGGGACATCAAGGACAACATCCGCAACGACTGTTGGGTATCGTTGAAGCAATTTTAGTATCGTTCGGGTACTATTTCCTTAAAACTTAAGTGGTGGGGGGCACGATTGGCGCGGTCCGATTGTACCCTCCATCGATTACAAATTTCCGAGTTAAGGGTCTTAATTCGGATATTTTGGTGCAAAGGAGGGTATAGTATTATTCATTAACGACCATTAATAGATTATTATCCTTATTATATATTACTTATCTCCTATTTAGACCCAAGGAACACCCATTTTTTGTCGAAAATTACCAATTTTCGACCAAACCGTAGACCCCCAAATTTTCGGATATCCGAGCTTTTCCGATAGGCAAAAAGCTTTTATATAGAGAGTAGCTACGTAGTTCGATCCCCTTCACTAAGGAAACGGCGTGAGCAAAGACTCAGTAGAAGTTAGGAAAACGAAAATTTTTCGATCAAAATTTTGATAATTTTCTGTATTTTGTCAATCTGTTTTGGGGATCGAGTTTTTGAGTTTTTAGAGTTAGAGCAATAAAATTTTTTGCGTTAGGAGCGTGCTAGCATAACGTGCTCGGTTACTAGAGAAATTTTTGGGTAACCCTCCGAGTAGCTCCGTGGATAGAGCTAACGACTTAAGGTTTGGAAAAGGAAGGAATCGGAGGGTCCAAATTTGATAGTTTTTGGCCAAATTTTTGTTTCTAAACCAATTTTGGTCCGGTTTTTTGCATTATTCCAGTGCCGTACAGGGCTACTACGCTCATTTCAAGTATTTTTAGGCACTTTCGACCGGAATTGCGAAAAAAGTCTTTCAGATCCTATACAGGTGGTGAAAAAGGCCATTTTGACGAACGCGTTTTTGGCGATTTCTCAAAGACTAGTTATCCGATCGGGATAATTTTGGTACCATAAGTCGACGTTTTTGACCACTTTTCACTTTTTGACCACTTTTTGGGTTGATTATTTCGGAAAAGAAAAATTTTTTAGAATTTGTTGGTTCGGAGGGTCCAAGTAACGGGCAACCCTCCGAGCGGCAGAAAATTTTATCAAAACATCTTTTTATTCAACTGGGAAGGTTGACCGTGTCAGCCAACCTAGTTTTAAGTCAGGTAGACCGCTTTCAGAGGCTTTACTGCGGTGATATAACCCTTTTTCTTGATTTTGGGGGAACCCTCCGAGGTGACCCTCCGGAGTCAGCTAAACCCTTTAGCAACCCTCCTTAGTGGAAAATTTCCACGAGATCACCCTAAGAAGTTAAAACAGCTCCCCTTAGAGCTCCTAGCTTGTTTTGACGCTTTTTGAAGCGAGGGGGAGAACCTTCTAAGCGAGATCGAAAAATTTGAAAATTTTGGAGGTACCCTCCGAAGTAACCCTCCGGAGCATATTAAGCATCTTATTGACCCTCCTTAGTAAATTTGGGGGGACCCTCCGAGGTAACTTGGGTGATTAGGGTACCCTCCGAAGTAACTTGGGTGATCAAGGTACCCTCCGAGGTAACCCTCCGGAGCGTCTTAAATCTTCCAACGATCTTCCTTGTTAGAGATTAGAGTAAACTTTCTGTGGCTATTTGGGCAACGGAAAATATCCATTGAATTAGGATCATATTAGGATATTAGGCGTGCTTATCAGGATCATAAGAACCCATTTTGACCCGGAAATTCGTGATCAACTTTGGATTCTACATTGGGTGTATTAGAAGTAACCGAACAAAATTTTTTTTGATTGTGATTTTGGTTGTGTGGTTGCCTTGAGCTACTTAATAGGAAAGTTCGGGCAATCCGGGAACAAATAAAGGAAGACCTCGGTGGGTGTATTAGGCAAATACAGACCCACTTGAGAAGAAAAATTATTCCCTACTCTCGTGCACTTGGAGCAGTCCGAGTGTGGGAGAGCTTTTTCATAGACTTTAGAAATTTTCGATCAGAGGTTGCCTTGAGCTACTTAGTAGGACAGCTCGGGCAATCGCAGGACACCTAAAAGAAGACCTCGGTGGGTGTATTAGGCAGACACACACCCACTTGAGAAGACTGTGTCCTGGGCTTCGTTCTTTCGGATCGTTCCGATTGGGGGAAGTCTTTTTCTTTAAGACTAAGTTTTATTTGTCTATTTCTGAATCATCACTGCTTTTTATCAAAGATTGTTTAATTTTAACAAAGCAGTGACTTAATAAATTGTGTGGCGATAAATTGATACTGACAAAAGGTCGCTGTCACCTGTAGGATATTCTTATCTGATTATCGATTGTGTTTTGTGTGTCGATTATATCTTGTGGAAACTTAGTGATACTGTTATACTATACAACCGGGTTGAGTTAGCATTATATCAATACTGGGTAGACCCTGTGTGTAACTTTAGCTGAGTCACTAATTTAGTCGTGAGAGATCTAAGAGACATTTTGATACTGACGGAATCGAGTAGGCAGCGTTAAGTGATTTAACTAAATCTTGTTTGTGGTACGTTTGCATTGCCATCAAATTACAAATACTTTCATTTTGATAAAAAACTATGCAGCGCAGGGACTCGCTAGGATCGACTACTAAAATTCCCAGGCTAAGCAAGGGAAGCACGCGGAAGTTTAGAACTAGGCGTAGCCAAACCTCGTTTAGCAGCGCTTCCGACGCGTTTGCTGAAGACGAATCGACTAAAGGTCAACCTGATCTTTCAGTGAGCGAAATGAAACTAAGGAGCGAGAAAAACCTCGATGGCAATCAAAGGCGGAGCGCCGAGGCCGAGCCTGCGAGCGAAACGCTGGTGGATCCCTTTGACGAAGGGGAGCGAACGCTCATTCGACCCGACTTTGAGCCAGACGAGGTCCTCGAACGGGAGGAAGCCGAGAGGACAGAGGAGACCTCGGAGCGTCCCGAGGTCGAACCTCGGGAGGAAGTGTTGTACAGGGGAATGTCCAAATCAGAGACTAAGAGCTATAAATGGAGAAAGGAACCTTCACATCTGACAAGTGGACACTCATCCTTGGCCAAACAGAGTAACAACGCGATGATGTCGAGTATGAGTCCGGGTGAAGAGCAGACGTTCTCGAAGGCCAAGAAGAGTTGGAAGTCCTTGTACGACGAACGCATGGCGTCACTACCAACTGTAGGTTTGA